TAAGGTGGCATACAATAATGCCATTCATAGTAGCACTGACATGACCCCTTTCCAGATCACCAGCAGCACGGAATTTGTTCTCATGCCTGAACTCCCCAGGGAGCCTCCCTCATCCAAGTCATTAAATGAATGGATGGACTCCCTAAAGCAGGGATGGGAAAATATGAAGCGGGCATTGTGAGAAGTGGCAAAAACCTATAAAACGCAAGCTGACAAATGCCACAGTCCCCAGCAGCCATTCCAGGTTGGGAGCAAAGTTTACCTCTCCAAAAAAATCTAAGGTTAAAGCTCCTATGCAACAAGCTATGGCCAAAGTTTATCAAGCCTTTTCCCATAGTGAAAGTAATTAACCCTGTTATAGTACAACTTAGTCTCCCTTGCCTCTTAGGGAAAGTGATCGGGTCTTTCACAGCAGCTTGTTAAAGCTGGCAATAGGCTCCTGAAAAAGACTGGTAGATTGGGTAGCCCCGAAACCAACAGTGGTGCAAGGGGAGATGCATTATGAGATAAAAAAGATTTTAGATTCCAGGATGCACAGGGGCAGGTTGCAGTACCTGGTGCAGTACTGTGTTCCTGTGACTCAGGTGAGGTGGAAACAGTGGGTCACATACTCCTTCAATGTTCCTTTTACTCAGAGATTCAGAAAAATATATTCTTCCAATAATTGCTAGGTATCCTGGCCATTCCGACACTGCTTACCTCCAGTGGCTGCTTAAGGATGAACAGTCTATAACCACAGTGCAGGTGGCTAGATTCTGCGCAGCAGCACTGTAGATTCGTCTGAAATATGTGTCTAATCCACCATAGTTATGTTATCACAGGAGTACAGCCCCTCACATTTTGTAAATATTTAAGTATATCTTTTCATGTGACAACACTGAAGAAATGACACTTGGCTACAATGTAAAGTAGTGAGGATACAGCTTGTATAACAGCATAAATGTGCTGTCCCCTCAAAATAAAGCAACACACAGCCATTAATGTCGAAACTGCTGGCAACAAAAGTGAATACACCCCTAAGTGATAATGTCCAAATGGGGCCCAAAATGTCAATGTTTTGTGTGGCCACCATTACTTTCCAGCATTGCCTTAACCCTCTTGGGCAGAGTTCACCAGAACTTCACAGGTTGCCCCTGGAGTCCTCTTCCATGATGACATCACAGAGTTGATGGATGCTAGAGATCTTGCACACCTCTACCTTCCATTTCAGGATGCCTCACAGATGCTCAATAAGGTTTAGGTCTGGAGATATGCTTGGCCAGTCCATCACTTTTACCCTCAGCTTCTTTAGTAAGGCAGTGGTCGTTTTGGAGGTGTGTTTGGGGTTGTTATCATGTTGGAATACTGCTCTGCGGCCCAGTCTCCGATGGGAGGGGATCATGCTCTGCTTCATTATGTCACAGTACATGTTGGCATTCATGGTTCCCTTAACGAACTGTAGCTCCCCAGTGCCGGCAGCACTCATGCAGTCCAGACCATGACATTCCCACCACCATGCTTGACTGTAGTCAAAACACACTTGTCTTTGTACTCACCTGGTTACCACGACACACACTCGACACCATCTAAACCAAGTAAGTTTTATCTTGGGTCTCATCGGACCATATGACATAGTTCCAGAAATTCATGTCCTACGTCTGCTTATCTGCAGCAAACCCTTTGTGGGCTTTCTTGTGCATCATCTTTAGAAGAGGCTTCCTTCTAGAACGACAGCCCTGCTGACCAATTTGATGCAGCATGTAGTGTATGGTCTGAGCACTGACAGGCCGACACCCCCCCTTCAAACTCTGCAGCAACGTGGCAGCACTCATAAATCTATTTCCCAAAGCCAACCTCTTGAGTACCCATGGCGAGGCCTGTTCTGAGTGGAGCCTGTCCTGTTAAACTGCTGTATGGTCTTGGCCGCTTTGCTGCAGCTCAGTTTCAGGGTCTTGGCAATCTTCTTATAGGCCTAGGCCCATGATGGCGAACCTATGGCATGCATGCCAGAAGTGGCACACAGAGCCATTTCTGCCGGCATGCAAGAGGTCTCCCAGAAGAGCCCCACTGCGCATGCGCGTGCCCCGCCAGCCAGCTGATTGTTAGGTATCTGTTGCACATGCGCAGGGAGAAATTGAGCATCTGTGGGCCATCCCAAAACAGAAAGTGGAGGTGCGCAAGGTCTCTAGCATCCACCGGCTCCGTGATGTCATCTTGGAAGAGGACTCCAGTGGCAACCTGTGAAGCTCTAGTGAGCTCTTTGCCCAAGAGGGTTAAGTCAGTGCTGGAAAATAATGGTGGCCACACAAAACATTGACACTTGGGGCCCCATTTGGACATTATCACTTAGGGGTGTATTCACTTTTGTTGCCAGCAGTTTCGAATTAATGGCTGTGTGTTGCTTTATTTTGAGGGGACAGCACATTTATGCTGTAATACAAGCTGTATCCTCACTACTTTACATTGTAGCCAATGTTCTTCAGTGTTGTCACATGAAAAGATATACTTAAATATTTACAAAAGTTGAGGGAGTGTCCTCACTTCTGTGATATACAAATGTGGCAAACCTTTTGCATTTCTTATTCCTTTCCCTTTTAGTATTAAACTGACAAAAGGCCACAGAGTTTATGGATTGTAATTTTAGTATAGTTAGACTATGTATAATTGACAGACTGGATTTTATCATAGATTTTAGTTTTTATTTACTATTTTATACTAGAATTTTTAATTATATATACTGAGTATTTTTTATAATTTTATTTATACTTTTTTCTTTAACATTCATAAGTGCTTGGTGAACAGTGTAGTGTCTGGATCAATATACTTTATACACATTACTAATAATATAATTTAGATATACATAATCATAACCTTCCAACTTCTAACATCTGTGTATACATGATAATTATAATATATTCTATTATATATCAGTATACATAATACTATTTTCCCAATTTCTACTTTTTACCTCTTTTTTCTAACTCTTAATAAAATAGCCACCATATTAAAAAGTATTCTATATCTATCCATCATCTCTTACTCTTTTTTAGAAGTCAACTCTTATTGACTTTTTGGTAAATCTTTCATGCTTCTCCCTTGGTATCTTGTAACTCCTTACATCACTTTTATTTAATCTATAAGTATTTCATCTGTCACAACGCCTATTCTTGCTGTTGGATCTCTAGAGCACCCATCTGTATTTCCTTCATCATTTTTAGGAGAGTTTTCTCTTTATTCTCTTCTATATTTTGAACTCTTAAAGGCTAATCTGTCTGTTTCATTTTAAGAATTATTACTATCTCTTCCATATCTTTATCTGCTTGGATCATTTTTGGATTTATCTCCTCTATTCTTTCCTCAGCTCCTTCTAGTTTCTCCTCTATTTTCTGAATTCTTTGTTCATCTTTTATTGTCATTTGCTGGGTTTTTTTTAGTCTCACATCTGTATCAATTCCACCATCTCCCTACAATTCCATGTCATATTTTCCTGAATACATTGAAACATCAATAATACTTCATGGACTGTATTTGCAATAATTTAATAGGCTAATAGTTGCTCAATATTCTACCAAGATTCCAACATCCCATCAAGATTCCAATATCCCAATTGCTTCCACCAAGATTCCAATATCCCAATACCAAATGCGCCAGTATTAATAAAATTTACAGTCATATAACTGTTCCCCAAAATCCCCTAAATTGATAGTTTTAAAGGTTTTCCAATTAGCAACCCTTTAAATTTTCCAAGGTTTTAAGTCTTATGTAATTTTTCTTCTTTCACCTCATAAAGTGTTCTATCAAATAGTCTTAATAATCCAGATTGGCCCACCAAATTTCCCCAAATGTCTTTAATCCACAGAATCAAATATTAAATTTCAATGATGTTTCTTTGTTAATTATAGTCCACCTTGTCTTAGAAATCTTCAAAAGGTTCGCTAAATATTATCAAGCAGCCAAAATGCCAGTAGACATGGAACTAAAATAAAAGGCCCTTCCAGGTTTTGTTTGCCTTTCACTATTTCTCCTCCTCTTCAGTCTTGCCAAAATGACCGTCATCTCTGCTGCCAATGAAGAGGATTTCTTTGGATCAAGCGAGGAAATTGCTGTTTCCTCGCGATCTACAAAGCGTCCCTCCTTTCTTCACCACCCTTTGACCCTGTAAGGTTTCCTGGCAAGCAGGTATTGACTGGTTTTTGTGGTGCTCCGCAGAGCTCTGCTATCCCATATCCATCCTGCTGCGACGCCAACCGATGAAGATATTTATTGAGTATTTTTATTTGTTCTGGTCTCTGGTCTATGACTGTAATAAACTGAATAAACTGAATTGAAGTACCTGGTGTAGTGGAAGGATACCCCCTTTTGGGAGGCCACCTATGTCAAAAGTTGGGAGCTAAAGGAGGATAGGTTAGTTAAGCAATTCCATGATGAGTACCCCCAGAAACCAAAGAGGTCCCAGTGGGTAGAAGGGGAGCGTAGGCTGATTTGTAATTAACCTCTTTGTGTTATCTTCTCATTGCAGGAAGTCCTTTTTACTTGAGTTGGGGGTGCCTGTCAACCCTGAAGCTGGCCTGACCAAAGCCATTTTGACCGCTTCAATGTTGCCACACTGGAGCTAAGGGAGAGGGAGAGGGGATCTCAGATAGAGGGATCTTGTAGCTGCAACAAAATACTTTTTCTTGGGAACCAAGGACATTCTCACAACTGGCTAGAGGAAGCAGAGTGATGTTACCCAGTTGTGAGACCTCAATGTGATTGGACAATGTGACTGATTGTTTTGAAAAAGTAGAAAATCTTTTACTTTTAATGAGGTGAAAACCATTGGTGACTTCAGAGTCGGTTTTCACCAGATATGTGCCAATATGATATTTCTAATAAAAGTATTCTTTGAGGAATTCAATTGCCTCAGAGTCTTGCTTGCCATAGATTTATTACTTGGAACCCTGACAATTACATCTTTAAACAATATACTAATTATAGATATTGGAATAAATATCCAAATGGTAAAGTTTAAAATGTCTTACCCCTAACACAGTAAATAACAGAGTTATAAAATAAAGAAGAGGTCGTTGTCCCATACAACATCGGGTAGCCATTAAGAAGAACTGCTCCTGTGCCATTTGCCGAACAGTTCTAAAAATTTCAATCAGAAAAAAAGAGAGATTAATACATGTATTTTAAATAATACTAATCTAAATTTATATAAAGGATAATACACTGTTTTTTGTCCTTGGTGCAATCCATTATATCATTTATATACTCAACAAATCTATTCTAGACCATTAGAAAAACCTCTGGAGCTGACTTTGAAGAGAACATGGGAGGCTGCAATCATCCTTTCCCTTCTGGCAAAATAAAACTGCTTCTACTGATGAAACATTCAAAGCAACTTTATCACAAGTGCTTATACCTATTCATACTCAAGAGCCCCATTTCTTCTTTTTCACCACCACCACCACCACCACCTGCCTATCGCAGGATGTTGGGAAGGCTAAAAATGCCAAATATAATCTAAATCAGGGGTGCCAAACTCAAGACCCGTGGGCTGGATCCTGGCCCACAGGGTGCTTAATTCTGGCCTGTGGGACAGCCATGGAAATGACAAAGGGCCAGCCCATGGTGCCTCTGCCAGCAAAAGTGGAGCCTGGACAATCTCCTGCAGCCCTCTGCCAGCAAAAACACGAGCATGGAGGGGGGCGCCCTGGGCTCCGTTTTCACTGGCAGAGGGCTTCAGGAGGCAGTCCAAGCTGAAAAGGAGGCTGGCAGAGGGCTTCAGGAGGTCATCCAAGCTGAAAATGGGGCTGGCAGAGGACTTCAGGAGGCTGTCCAGGTCAAAAATGGGGCCCAGGGGGCCGCACGCAGCCCGCCCAGGCTCCGTTTTCGCTGGCAGAGGGTTAGCAAAACAAAAATAATAATAAAAGGAGAAATGTTGCCCCTTTTGCATTTAAGGATCCAAGAAGGGACAGGAAAGGAGAAAGGGAAAGAAGACAAAGAAAAAGGAGGAAAGATGGAAAGAGAGCAAGGAAGGAAAAAGAAGGAAAGAAAGGAAGAAGAGGAAAGGAAAAGAAAGAGGGAAGGAAAAGGAAGAAAGGTAGGCCATACCTTATCATTTGGCCACCAGCAGACAGCAAGGCTCCTTTGGGTGACAAGGGTTTGGCGCTCTCCCTGGTCTCACCTTCCTTCACTGGAGACAATGGATCCCCCCCAGCCCCACCTGGGCCACCACAAATGCCCTTGAGCTGGCCATGCACCATGCGATCAAACACAACCCTGATGCGGCCCTCAATGAAATCGAGTTTGATACCCCTGATCTAAATATTTGGCTGTGACTAATATAAAAATTTATTAAATATCAGAAATAAGGAAATGAATATTGTCCACCTAAACAGCATATAAAATTATATCACAATACTGGAATAATTATGACCCAGTAATAAAACAAAAATATAGTAAAATAAAATGCAAATTACTGTCCCAAGAGCATGGGTGTCCAATGAGCTTTCATCAGCATCATGCCACAGCATTCTTTTTATGTATATATGTGATGTCATAAGAAACTGTATTGGCATCATGTGATTTTTGTCATTCTGCCTGCCCTCAAGGATCCTACTGACTAGGGAGCAGTTGATAAAACAAATGAAATATTAAAATCACTTACTTGCTGTGACAATGCAGTAACAAATCAATGATAAATGTCTGCCATGCTTTTTCTTTACTTAGTGCATCCAGTGCAGTTGGAATTAAAGCAAAGCAAAGCGTCATCACTTCAAGTGCTTCACAGCAAACTTGTTCATCTTCTGAATCTGGTTCATTGCCTGCATTTGTCTATAAAATAAATCAGAAATAAGCAACATAACATATATGATAAAGTAGGATCAATTACTTTCTTAATTGTTCCTTCAAGCCCAAGGAAATTACACCTACTACTTATCATCGCAAACTTTAATGGTATACTAAAATCAAATCAAATCTGAAAATGGAATTAAAGAGTTGAAGAGTTGACAACGTGCACTGTGAGACAATAATCCAACTATGCTGAATTGAAATAGATTTCATAGGAATTCAAATTACACAAGGGATTGGTGCTGATGAAAATTGCACAAGGGAGGGAAGTAAATACAACACTTGGTCATGATTGCCTATTTGTGATTATCTGAATCTAATTTTAGCACTTTGTCAAGAATCAAACATTTCACACTCAGAGAATCTTTCACACTCATTGAAGAAATTAACACTCTATCCCAGTGGTCGCCAACTGGTGGTCCACAGCCCACTGGTGGTCAGTGAAAAAATTTGGGTGGTCCGCAGAGAAATGTAGCCCCCAAATCACTCCCCCCAAAACACTTAAACCAGGCTGCGCGGGAACACAAAGCTGTACTTCCCACATGGCCTGCCCACCCGCTGGCATCCACACTTCAGCCGAGCACAAACCTGCAAAAAGCAGCGCAGCCCTCCCCGGCCAGGACGAGGTAATGGTGCTGTTGCAGCAAGAGGGGTTTGCCGGGACAGGTGGGCTAAAGTGGCGATGGAGATGGCCGGGAGGTCCAGGAGCGCCGTGCTACTTGCATTTGCGCGGCACTCCAGCACCTTCCAGCTCGTCTCTCCTGGCCTGGCCTCTTTCTCCATGTCCGCGGGCTGTAGGAACAGCCCGGGCCAGGAAAAGAACCGGCTAGTGGTGGTGGGAGGGGACGGAGTGAGCAAGTCTGCGCTCATCATCCAGTTCAGAGGTCTGAAATGGGGTGGCGGTGGTGGCATCAATTTCCTCATCCCTCTCTCGGTGCTCTGCTCTGCTGCCCCCCACCCATGGCCCCCGCCATCGCTGCCTGGGGAAAGCACAGGGAAAGTGAGCAGAAACATAGGTCTCACTGGGGCGAAAGAAGCACAGGCAAGAGAAGGTGGAAGCTGCTGCCTTTGAAAAGCACTGCTTTCAACAGTGCCTTCCGATCTCTGCTCTTTTGCCCCAGCGAGACCTATGTTTCTGCTCATTTTCTTTTCCTGGGGGGAGCAGCAGAGGCATCAGTGCTGCTCTCCCCACCCCCCCCCAAGCCAGGCCTGAAGGAATGTGAAGAATTGCGGGCTAACGCTGGAGAAATGTGTGTTGGAAATACCAACACACATTTCCATCGCGTTCTCCTCTTCCCTGAAGTAGGATTGAGTGGGGGGAAGGAAGCAGGGGGAAGAGAAGGAGAAGCCTGGCTAGCTTTCTTTTGGCATGGGGTGGGGTGGGGACCAAATGCGCCAAAGATGACGGGCTCCTAATAACCAGCCTGTTTATGCAGGCGAAAGCTTGAACTTTTCTGGGCTTGAACCCCCCCCCCCCCACTTCGGCCTCCACACAGGGAGGGACCCTTCTCTGCTTGGAAGCAGCTACATGGGCTGTGGCATTCCAAGCCCCAATTCCACATCCAGCATTCGCCTGCCTCTTCGAGGATGTGTTTTCTCTAACATGATGGTGAGTGACTGTCCCAGTAAGGTGCCTACGCACCATCCCAGAGAGACCTCAAGGTGAGCTAACCCCAGGTTTCCCGCTCCCTGGCATGACCTCTGTGAGTGCCACATTTCCCTCTCTGGCTCTGCCATGTGGCGGAGAGGGTAACCTGGAGCCAGCCCTGCCAATACTTGGCTTGTGCTGCCCTGCGCTCCCCATCTGCTGTTTCACCTTTTGTCCCATGGGCCAGGTGGGAATAGTCTTGCAAAGACTATTGCCACTAGTAAGGATTGCTTATATGAATGAAAGATAAATGAAGAACATGCCTCTTGGATTTATAACTACAAGGTAACCACAGAGCACAACCATATCACTAACTCCATCTTTTTTATAAAATTGTATAATGGATATTACATTCCAAATCTAAAAAGTAGGTGGAAAGTGGAAATAAAAAAAGCTTGAAGGAATGTAGTTACACAAATTAGATTTAACATTGATTTAACAATCAGAAAAGATGTTTGGAGCCTGGAACATGGAAAGTACTACTGCAGACAAGAGATTCACATCAGTAAGCCCCCTCCCCTTTTGGCCTCACATTCAGGGGACGTCAAGGCTTCTCTGGTGGACAAGGCTTTGGCGGTCACCCTAATCTCTCCTTCTTCCACTGGAGACCTCCACATCTCCCCCCCAACCTTGCCTGTCCCCCACAGGTGCTCCTTGACGTGAGTGATGTTGAGCTGGCCATGCCTACCAGCCATACCCAGCTAGTCATGGCGAGCTGGCTGTGACCACCCAGTCACGCTCACCTAGACCTTTGAGGGCAACAATAATGCTGATGCAGTCCTCAACAAAATTGAGTTTGACATTCCTCATCTACAGATTTACTTAAACAGAAAGAAATAATGAATTAAGCAATTTTGTGACAAAAGTAATAGCCTTAATTTTATATACAGAGGTATCAAATTGCAAAATTATGTATTTTCTGAATAACTGTAAAAGCATTTTTTTCTACTAAGACATACTTTCTAACAGTATACCATAAAATTAGAAGAGCTACAAAAAAATCTAAACAACCATAGCAATGTCTACTATTCATAAATACACCATATGAAGTTCAGTTTCTTACTATGGTTCTTCCTATTAAAACCATTTAGAACTGAATGCTAGTTCAGCTTTCTTACCTTTTCATAAATTTTACTAATATCTTCATTTGAGCTGAATACTAGTTGTACTGATCCACATCCAGAAGCCCATACTATTTTTTGCACTGCTCTAATAACACAAATGTCAGGAATAAACTTTGAAGCCTGAAAACCGAAACAGACAAATGTAATAAGTACTCTACCATTTCACAAATTATAAATATTTAAAAGTGAATCCATGCCATAGCAATCCATAGTCTTGCATCAAACCACAGAAGCACAATTTACATAGTTACCTAGTTTAGTCATCTACCACAGCCACTCCCAGTCTTCAAGCCAAAGAGTTTGGAAGTGCTCAATATTTAACCATACTAACCTCATCAGATATTTGCTGTGCAAGGCGTATTGCTACATTTCTTAACATGCACTCTGAAGTTGGATTGGGAATGTTCTGTAGAGCAGTTTGCAACACCACCGCCTGGTCATGAGTCGCTTGGTTGATCTACAACAATTTATTTTCAGTGTTATTAAATGGAGAATACATTCTGTCCAACAGTAAAAGTATATTCAGAACATTTTTCCATTGCTTTTATGCAAATACAACCAAAAATATTAATAAGAATGTTCAGTTTTCCTTATGATGACATTTATTAAAATAGAACTGTACTGATAATTTCTCCATGACAGAGTTCATCTCATACAAACTTTTAATATTATATGTTATTATGAATCTTAATGCAACTGAAAAAGTTTTTTAGTGCTGTTGTAACTTTGAACGATCACTAAATGAACTGTTGTTAAGTCAGGGATTGCCTGTATTTTCTTTTCCTCCATAAATCCTGAGTTGTTGTCTTTCTGTCTGTTTATTTACAAGTCTATAATGCTCAATGCTAACAAGGCATTAAGCAACTTTCAAAGTAGTGCAAACTTTGGAATAAAACAAATGTAAAATTTGTAGCAGAACCAAATGATGATATTAAGAAAACTTTTCATATTCATCAGCACTCCAAAAAATCACATTACCAGTAAGCAGCCAATCACTGGATATAAGAGTAGGAATGTATCATTTTATCATTCCCTAATGGCTTTTAAATAATCAGATTTTTATGGTTTTCCTAAATGCCGGCATAGTTATTGATGATTTGAACGCAGGTCAGATTAAGTTTATAAATGTTCACTTCTCACTTATGCTATTCTCTATTTAGTTATTTACTATTCTTCCACTGGCACCTTACCAACGGTGATCATTAAATGGTTCCTGATGGAGAAATTGACTATGTGATCAAAAGGTCCAAACAATGATTTCAAATTTAAGATAACAGCAGAAAGCATTCATACAGAAAACAATGACTGCTAAAAATATGACAAAAGAGAGTAAATGAAACTCAGTTTGCAGAACCATTTGATAAATTTATTTGGTTCAAATGCCAATAGGAAAAAGTAACTGAGAACAGGATTTGCATAGATATTTTTTAAAAAAAAGGATTGGAAGCTGTGACTTTAACTTTTTTTCTTTATTTATATTGTTTCTAACACTTTATTTTTCTATTTTTATTTATACCCTTTCTTGTTGTTTAGTTACATAAAAATAAAAATTATACAAAAATAATTATGGTTACCGGTGACATTGGGCTTGTACCCTCTACAACTGGTTGACAAGCTTCTGCCACAGCTCTCACGTGTCCATAACCAATTGCAGTCAGCAGTAGCTTTGCTATTTTTAAAGCATTTAGGTAGGCTCCCCTTCTTGTTTCCATATCTGCATTTGGCAAGAAATTATTTCTAGTCAGCATACTCAACACGAGAGGTAAGCCACCACTTTTTAAGAAATTGAACTGAAAGTCAGTAGCATCTTCTCCCAGAGGCAAATTGGCAGGCATTAACAAGGCATAAACTACCTGGAAAATATAGAGAAAAAAAAATACAAAAACGTCATTTTAATAAAACTGCTTTCAAAACTCAATCATTAGACATTAGGGTAGGTATGATATATATAATTATTCATATTCATCAGAATAATCTGATAGTTCATTAATATGGTGATGATGATATCAAGATAAAAAAACTGAATTTGAAAGATTGTGGCATAAACTGCCTGTGATGGTCCCAGTGGTTATCGACACATTGGATGCCATACTAAAAAAATCTTGGACAGCACTTAGTAAATGTATGATTGACAAAATTTCCATCTGTCAATTGCAAAAGGCAACACTGCTTGATCTGCACATATACTACACTCCTATACTACAGCATGCTACTTGGAAAGAATTAATTGCATATGAAGGTCAGCATTGGCTAAAGAACTGGCAGCCATGATTTCACATTTTTATACATAGTAATAATAATTGTATTGTATGTATAAGGCCACGTAACTTCCAGAGACCCCAGAAGGTTTTCCCTATGTTCCATGTCTAAAAATCTCAAAATTAATAAGGAATACATATCTCCCCCTCCGTTCTCAAATGATATCTACAATTCCCCAAACCAGAACCCAGTGACATTTCTTGGATTTAAGTGATATAAGAAGAAAAACTTTTGGAAAGCTGTAGTATAAAAATAATACACTTCTGGAAAAATGTATCTCAAAATAATTACAAGCCTCTTTATTTCAGTCATTAAAACAATGCCTGAACATCACAATTTAAACAAAAAATGAAGACTGGAGTGATACATGACTGTTTTTTTTCTTCCATTCAATAGTGTCCATTTCTCAGAAACTTCCTGGACAAGCCTGCAGTTTTCTTGGCAAGGTTTTTCAAGAAGTGGTTTCCCATTTCCTCCTTTTTATGGTTGAGAGAAAGTGACTGGTTCAAGGTCACCCCACCCAGCCTTATGCCCAAAGAGAGACTAAGACTTAGAATCTTCTGATTTCTATCTTGATGCTTTAACCACCACACCAAACTGGCTTTACACTTAAGCCAAAAATTAACTCTATACAAACCTCTGTAAGATATAGCACTTGTGAAGCAGAAGGTCCAAAGAACAGAGAATCAAGGGATGGGCTAAGGCTACTGTCACCAAGTTTTGCATGGTCTAAACAGATAGCTCTTAATTTCTCTATAGTAGTATTATCTGAAATAAAACAAAATTTAAAAATGTTTCTTCCCCTCAAATATTAAGAAAAACATATTGATTTATCAAAATATCTTTAAAACTGAAATACATTGAAGTTACCTCAAAAATCAAACATCAAAAACATTTCTGAAACATGTTTTGATTTTATAACACACATTTTTCAGGACTATAGTTCTGGCCCTAGAAAACTAGTTTTTAAAGGTACTGCTGTCAGATATAACCACCATGCTCACAGCAGAAAGTACTTTTCCTTTTTTGATCTAAGTGCAATCTTCTACTATATAATGTGCTAATTTTGAACTTTAATGAGAATTAAGCAAGTAATAATGATTATTGTGTAGTGGTATGTTTAGTAGCATACACTAGATATAAAAGGTCTGCACACCCCCACTTAAAATGTCAGTTTTGAGATATAAAAAGAAATCAGACAGAGACAAAACAATTTTTCCACCTTTAATGCAACATATTTATATATGTTGTATTAAATATTATTAATTAGTATTAAATACAATGGCCACTAATTGTGGACAACAAGGGAGACTCAAGGAGAATTGATAGTCTCCATTTAAAACACCCAGCTGATTAGTCAGCCTGCATTTAAATTTCCACTCAGCTGATTGGACAACCTCTACTAAACCCTCACCCAAATCTCATCCATTCCAAACTCCAAAGTAGATGATTGGTGAGCTCATTCAAATCTTCTCCATTCAAATCTATCAAGCAGCAATGCTTCCTCTTTAAAACAAAACCAAAACAAAACAAAACCAAAAATGTGGCTTTAAGGAAAAACAAAGAAACTTTACATGACAAAGCTCCAATACTTCACTACCTCCACTATTTTCAGTACCTCAAGACCAAATATTGATAGATAATGCTTTGTCTAAAATAACTGATTTATCATATAATAGTATAATAATTAATTGTTAATTGACCACTAATTTACTGATTCATTGAATTGGTAGAAATTTAATACTCCATCATTGATTTTCTAGTTGATTGATTGATTCTTAGTAATAAGTTGGTTGATTGTTTCTTAGTAATAAGTAATCACTTTTGATTTCTTCCCTAATTTATCAATTAACATTTATTAATTACCAATATTCATTAAGTAACTGTCTACCTAACACATTAATTAGTTATTGTAATTGTTTAGTTTACTATTGTCATTGACCATGCCAGTCAGAAACTCCACAAACTCCAAATCCTCCACTACCAAACAACAAAAAAACAATATCTCTACCAATGACCTCTCAGACTCCTGTACATGCTTCAGATGTCTTAAAACCATCAATGAAAGTGAAAATAACATCAAATGCTACCTATGTGACAATCAAGCTCACTTTGTCTGCTTAAACTTAAAAAAAAAAAACGTAGCTGATCTCCTAAAAGCATCAGATACATTCCCTTGTCTATGTCCATCATGTTTCCTAAGCTAAACAAACCAAGCATCCTGTCTGACAGAGTTGATAGCATAGAATCAACTCAGGCACTCAATAGAAAAATGCTTAGCAACACGTTTTGAAACAATTATACAAGAAAGCCTAATCTCTCTTGAAAAAAAAAAATACAGCAATTAGCTATCAGCTCAAAATCAAATCCCAACTCAACAACCACTACTACAACTACTACATCAACTACAATCACAACTACAACCAAAAATAACCTCCAAACCACAACCACAAATATTTACTATTCCATCAAATAATTCCACAAATGCTATCAGAGACATCATGGAACATGATCAGAAACGTCCAAATGCCATCTTATTTGGTCTTGAAGACACCAACGAATCAGACAACATCACCAAAGTTCGCGAAATCATAAGCAACTCCAATACAACAAACATTTCCCCTGATGATATCATTGAAATAACCAGAGATGGACCTGACTTCAAATACAACGATGGCTCGGTGGCCCCAAAATTTTGTAGAGTTGTGTGCAAAAATGAGTCCAGCAAATGTATATTCATTCATACAATAAACACCATTGCAAAAACCAATCCCAACCACAAAAAACTTCAGTCAAGACCAGACTTATGCATACTGCAAAGAATCCGTTCCTGTGAACTCTGCAATGAACTCAAAAGACGTATAGACAATGGAGAGAAGGACCTGTACATTGACTACCGCATTGATTGTATCAAAAGTAAGTCACACAACTCCACATCCAACCCTATCTCATCCAACCCACCATCACTCAAAACTTGGCACGCATGTCCCTAACTACCTCAATTCCAACTACAACTGGCCTTAAATGCAAACTACTCAATGCAAGAAGCCTTGTAAATAAAATACCTCAATTTCTCCTCTTACTAAATACGACTAAATTCGACATCATATTTGTCTGCGAAACAAGGCTCAACGCATCTCTCCCTGACTCCATTACCACAGTAAAACACTATCATGTTTACCGATCAGATCTTCTATAAAAAGTCCTACATCTAAAAAACATCCAAGTTACCCAGGAGCTTGCTCTTCCTGAGACCATCGTCTGTGAACTGTCCTTAAATATCACATTTTGATTCTTACTATGTTACAGAGCCCCTGATTATGACATCAAACATGTAAACAAGCTAAATTCACTGCTAACATGGGCAACATCCTGCCCACACGCTTTTATCTTTCTTGGTGACTTCAATCTACCTCATATTAACTGGACCCTAAACAAATGTAAAACTGAACCCATACATGCAACCTTCTACAATGCTGTAACAAATCTGGGACTGGAACAACTAGTAACCAACAATACTAGACTTAATAACTGCCTCGATCTCATCTTCTGCAATAGTTTGAATTCAATTTACGGAATACAAATTAAAGAACCCTTTTCCAACAGTGACCACAATATGATTGATTTTTGTCTCAACATATGTCCACACAAAAATCAACGTAATGACGTGATCCCCAATTATAACTTCAAAAAAGGCAACTATGATCTTATAGACAACGATCTCTCATCCCTTGATTGGCAATTTCTATTCACTGGATGAAATACTGTTGAAGACCATTACAACATATTTTTACTTGAAGTCAAAAGAGGCATCAAACTATATGTACCAATAACAACTCCAAAACCAGAAAAAACAGATTACCTATAACAAATAGGAAGCTTCAATCCAAAAAGAGATCACTTTGGCAGAAAAACAAATCTGGTCACGTTGCCATCTTCAAAAGACGATACAAAACTTTATGCCACCAGATAAAGACTGAATGCACCAATTATCACATTAAACAAGAGGAAAACCTTCTAAGCACCAATTCCACCCGCGCTTTCTAGTTTTGTGATCAACAAATTAAAAGACTCAAGGTCCATCCCACACCTGAAAGGACCTAATGGTAAAGACTGCAACGATGACACAATTAAAGCCAACCTCTTTAACACATTCTTTGGCTCAGTATTTGTAAACAGCAATGGATCATGCCCAGTATTTCCTAGTCAATCCACAGACAACTACAATGATCTAATACGTATCGATTTTCCAGAAGACAATGTTGAAAAAGCACTACGCAATCTAAAACCATCTCTATCTATTGCACCGGACGGAATATGTGCCTACTTCTTAAAAAAACTATCCACTGCCACAGCCGAACCTCTGAGCATAAGCTTTGAAAAATCTTTCAGGACCAGCTCCTTGCCAAACCTATGGTCACAAGCCACGGTCATCCCCACCTTCAAAAAGGGAGACCCCAGCCTAGTTAAAAATTACAGACCAATTTCTTTATCCTGCGTTACCTGTAAAGTCATGGAATCAATTATTAACGAATCCATTATCCTCCACTTAGAGACAACCTACTCTCTAATAAACAATTTGGTTTCAGAAAAAAATCTATCCTGTAATCTGCAACTCTTAACACTGCAAAAACATATGGACTACACAACTCGATCAGGGCAATGCAATAGACACAATCTACATAGACTTCTGTAAAGCCTTTGATTCAGTGGTACACGACAAACAATACTAAAACCAAATATGGTATCTCGGGACACCTGCATAACTGGATAGAAGCATTCCTGGCAAACAGACAACAAATGGTCAAAATTGGGAGCGTCCTATCAAATTCTGTACCTGTCAACAGTGGTGTTCCCCCAAGGCAGTGTTCTAGGACCAACTCTCTTCATACTTGACACATACTCCTCTGTGTTCATATTAAGAGCAACTGCATCCTCTTCGCTGACGATGTAAAGCTATTCAACACCACAGACAATACTGCTACCCTTCAAAAAGACCTCGACTATGTATCAGAATGGTCAAACAAGTGGCAACTTCAAATCTCAACAAATAAATGCTCTGTCTTACATATTGGCAAAAAAATATATCAGAAAATAAAATACAAGCTGAATAGTCAAGACCTTGTTGATGATCCAAACTCTGTCAAGGACCTTGGAATACTCATCTCTAATGATCTAAGTGTAAGTGTACAGTCCACTATAACTACATAGCCAAAAAAGCATTAAGAGTTGTTAACCTAATCTTATGTAGCTTTTTCTCTGGTAATATTACACTACTAACTAGAGCATACAAAACATTTGCTAGACCAATACTTGAATACAGCTCATCAGTCTGGAACCCATATTATGTATCGGATATTAACACAGTTGAGAAAGCCCAGAAATATTTCACAAGAAGAGTTCTCCACTCCTCTACTCATTGCAGAATACCTTATGCCACCAGACTCAAAATTCTAGACCTAGAAAACCTAGAACTATGCCACCTTCGGTCCGATCTAAGTATAGTATATAAAATCATACATTGCAATGTCTTACCTGTCAATGAATACTTTCAGCTTCAACCATAACAATACAAGAGCACACAATAGATACAAACTCAAGGTTAACCACACCAAACTTGATTGCAGGAAATACGACTTCAGCAACAGAGCAGTCAATGTCTGGAATACTCTATCTGACTCTGTGGTTTCTTCCCCAAACCCCCAAAACTTTAACCTTAGACTGTCTACTATTGACCTCACCCCTTTCCTAAGAGGTCTGTACCTACCCTCACCCCTTTCCTAAGAGGTCTGTACCTACCGTCCCTCTATTGTTTCTTTTATTTTTCTTATATGTATCCATTTCATGTATTCGTAACTACGCTTATATTTATACCTATTATCTTGTAAGCAATTGAAAAATCAAATAAATAAACTAAATAAATAAATACAAGCTTCACAATTCAATAGAAAAATAAAGAAATCTTTCAGGGCAGAAAAATAAAAAACTTAAAAGTAACATGGTTACAATAAATGTGCACACCTTCTTATAAATAGCAATATAATTATGTTCAGAATTAACCAATCACATTAAAACTCATATTAAACAATAGTCAGTACACACCTGCCATCAATTAGTGTCTTTGATCAAGCCCATATAAAGTTCAGCTGTTCTAATAGGATTGTCCTGACATTTACTCAGTTGCCTCTTAGAACAAAAGCAATGGTCTGCAAAAAGCTTATAAAGCATCAAAGGGATCTCATTGTTGGAAGGTATCAGTCACAAAAGGTTTCAAAAAATTTCCAAGGTATTGGAAATTTGGAACACAACGTACAGTCATCAACAAGTAGAGAAAACATGGCATTAACAGTGACATTACCAAGGACTGGATGTCCCTCAAAAATTCATGAAACAAACAAGAAGAAAACTGGTTAGAGAGGTTTGCCAAGATGCCTACAGCAACATTAGAGGAGTTCCAAGAATTTCTGGCAAGTACTGATCGGGGTAGTACATGTGACAACAATCTCCCATATTCTTCGTATGTCTGAGCTGTGGGATAGGATGGCAAGCCTTTTCTTACAATAAAAAACATCCAAGCCCAGCTATATTTTCCAAACCAAAATGTATTACCTATATCAAACGTGTAATGGTCTGATGAATTATGGCCTTAATTCCCCAAAATATGTTTGGCGCAAAAACAACACTGCACATCAAAAGTACACTGTACCCACAGTGAAGCATGGTGGTGGCAGCATTATGCTTTGGGTCTGGTTTTCTTCAATTAGAAGTGGGACTTTAATCAAGGTGGAGGGAATTACAAACAGTCAATTTTGGCACAAAACCTTCAGGCCTCTGCTAAAACACTGAAGATAAATTTCACCTTTCAATACCCAAAGCATACTTCTAAATCAACAAAATAATCGCTTCAGCAGAAAAAGATCAAAATTTTAAAATGAGCCAGCCAGACCCAAACCTGAATCCAATTGAAAATCTGTGTGATGACCTAAAGAGGGCTATACACAAGAATGGCCTCAAGGAATTGAGAGGGACAAAATGGATCAAAAGTGGAAGACAAGGGTGAACAATCGAATACAGGTAAGAGCTGCTATTAAGGCCTACCTCGTGGCAATTCAGGTGGTAAAGTATTAAGTATTTCTCTGCACTAACTGCATGTGCATATATCGACCAGCAACCTTCTTTAAGGTAAGCCATTTCCTCCTGGGAAAGGAGGATACAAAGGTCTACCTGAAGGGGTGCAGTGAGGAATTTGCTGATTTTCCAGAAGGCAAAATTGTTCAGCTTTGTTCCCAGTTAGATGTCAACATGATTGCTAGTCTAGTAGAGGCACCTGGGCAAGTTTTTGCCCAGTTATCTGGGAATAGTTTGATCCCATTGCTCCTGAGGAAGTGGACATAGAGTATAAGTGCAAGCACCTGTATTTTAGATCCATGCCCCTTCTGGCTTGTGAAAAATTCCCAGGAAGTGACATGTGGGTGAGTTCTGGTGGTGATTAATGCTTCCCTACAAGAAGGGGTGATGCCCAGCATTTTAAGGAGTCTTTGATATACCATCGAACAGGTTATCCTTCTGAAGCTGTTTCACAGGTTGGGAGTGGGGGGATCTGTGTTGTCTTGGTTCACTTCTTTCCTTTGTGGCTGCTCTGAGTTGGTGTTGCTAGGAAGTGAAAAGTCCAGCCTTTGTTGCTTGCTTTGTGGAGTCTCGCAGGGCTAGATACTCTCTCTCTGCTTCTGTTTAACATCTACATGAAGCTCCTAGATGAGATCCACCACCACCATGGATGAGATATCAACATGCCAGAGACACCCAGCTGTATGTCTCGGCCCTTCTTCATGGAGTCTTCCTCCCTTTGGGACATCATCCCTGCAGAGATTAAATTGCCTCCCACTTTGACACTCTTTCATTAAGCTCTGAAGACCTGGTTTTACCAACAGGCCTGGGGAATCTAAAGTGGGATGGAGCCTATCAAGTTGCTTATCTGATTGATTGCTGTGGTCAGGGGAGTGGGTGATTATTTTTATTGTTTGTATATTAGGTTTTAATTTTTGTAAGCAGCCCAGAGTCACTGAGAGTGGGTGGGCAGCCATAGAAATTTAAATAAATAAATAAATCAACAAAGGTATGGACTGCATTTGCAAAGAAGAGAGGGCAGTTTCCCAAGGGGTGCCACGCTGATAGGTTCCTACCCCAAAAGGCTGAATGCTGTCATAAAATCAAAATGTACTTTAACAAAATATGAATTTAAAAGTGTGCACACTTATGCAACCATGTTTTTGTAAGTATTTTCATTTTTCCCCTCTGAAAGATTTCAGTTTGATTTTCAACTGATTTATATTGGTCTGATATTTTTACATCTCAAAAATCTTGCATTTTAACAGGGATGTATAGACTTTCTATATACACTTTATGGTTTTTCAATTTGCAAATATATATTTCAATTGAAAATGGTAGAATAAAAAAAATTACCTGGTGGCATTAATTTCATAAGGATACGTGCACCATCTCTAAGGGATGGCATATTTAGACTACTGCCTAGGTCTGCAACTTGCCAAAGAAATGAGATGTATCTAGGATGCAGTGACATAATCTACAATAAAAATAAAAACTTGTCAGAAGATGCAAATGTTAAATGTTTGCCTAGTATTATAAATTTAGATGCATGTGTTCTTTTACTTACAACTCCAGGCAAGCAACTTTCAACTTCTGGATTTGGACCATCGCTATAATGATTGCCATGGTTACCAGGAGAACCCGTAGAAGAATCAGAGGAACTATCAGGGCTTGAAGGCATATTGGAACTTATCTGTGTAAGCTTTGCTGTAATTAACTGCAGATGGAGGAAAATGCAAATGTAAATTGATAAACTACATCAAGTAGTGAACCATAACTATTTTTAAAAGCTTCTAAATGTATTAAACCACAAGTGTGCAATCTATCAATACAGATTATATTTATACTGTTATGGGCATACATGTTATCAGTATATAATTTTTCTTAGTACTTACTGTTTTATCTTTTAGATTCAATTGTCCAATTAATTTCCTATCATCTACGGGATCCACCAGTTCGCCTCCAATAAATAATTCTACTTTGGTATGTGCACTGTTGGCTTTAATACGGTTGAGAATGCAACGTCTGACTGAACCAATGGTATCATTTGTATGAGACCAAACATCCAAATCTTCTACCTGTCGGCCTTGGTTTGGAAAACGAACTACTAGAGAGATGTGCTTACCACGAAAAGCTCTGAAAATATAGGGAAATGAGATTCTAGTTAAAACTATCCTGGATATTTAAGAATGTTAATATGGTAAAATACAGTTAATAAATATTTGTACTCATTTTTAATACATTGACAATTTTCTAATAAGAACATGTGTTTACGACTGAATTATTCTGAAAGGGATGGCTATTTATTTTGTAAGTCAGATAAAAAATATTTTCCTTGCATGTATCAAGTATAATAAACATAACATTTATAATTCTGTTGAATGGCACATACAAACCATTATATTTAGATAATTGAGAAAATAAGTTGAGTAGCATAATCCTAAGCATGTGCACTCAGATATATGTATCCTGTTGTAATAGCTATATAATTTGAATCATTGCACCCTAGGAAACTGACTTTTCCACAAACCTTGACATTGGTAGAATTGTTCGTTCTTCATGGTAATCACTGTCACATTCATTTATATACTCCCTTAAAACAGTCAACACTCGCACCATTCTTATTGCTTCTTGTCTTGCACAATTAATACTGTCTTTATCTCCATCCAAAACACATAAAGTATCATAGGATGCCTTCAAACGATCAAAACAGGACTGAATGAAGTCCTCATGGATAACTACCTGTACAAATTCCAAGAGCCATAATTTATCATTTTTTAAAAAAGGAAGTAACATGAAAAACAGAAACCTTCAAAAAATTACATGCAGAAGTGCAGGTTTTCCCAATTTTGTAATTCCAAAAACTATTTTAAAAGTTCATTAACAAGCCAAATGTATAACTCTAACCCTAGTATAACCATTGCCACAAATACAAGGAATATTAATTATAACTATCATGTAGTCTGACAGAGCATCAATACTTTAGCCCAGTTAACAAAGATTAATGTCAAAATAGTAGGTCTTCACTAGCCAAACCCTTCTTGCCACAGAACATTACATTATTCTAAAATAATTAAAATTATGCACCACCCAAATTAGGTAAATATATCTGCTTATGTCAGAGAACATTTGGGAGGATGTGTTATTAACCATGTCTATATTGTGTAAGCAATATTAAATGTTTATTTTGAAACGATTATTTCTATACTGGACTCATTGGATGACTATTTACAAAAAAGTTTTACTCTTCTGAAATTGCAACAAAACTTCCTATAGAAAGAAGTTATTGTGATATTTTACCTGATTAACTTGTAATCTTGGACCAAGGTTGGTATAAATCTCCTTCAGCAGATCTATTGCTCGACTGGCAATATCATCATTCCCTTGAATTACAACCTAAACAGCAACATAAAGCCTATGTTAAGCTAAAATTGTACAACAAAAGGCATGTTCTATTTAAAATTATCTAAAATAGCATACACCCAACTTAACTATTTTGGAAATGGAAAACTTTGGAATATCCATACCATTCTACTCATTTTTGAACTGGTATGCCGTTTAATCCTTCAAACGATAGCAGTTTCTGTTATTCTAGGGGTATTCTGGTTATATTACAAATTATTTCATCTAAAATGGGATCAACTTCTTCTGGTTTTTAACTTGTAAAAATGGCAGACCATATACAAAATGGCTAGAGTAGCATGATACAGACCACACTCTGGATTTCTCCAGAATATGCTATTATATTATAATCTAGACTACATCCAGTGTTCTCATATGAAGCAACAAAGAAACTTTTGGAAAGCCAACTCATTACTTAAAAAGCTAATATCAAGTAAATACTGTAAACATGTTTAAATCTAGGTCTTCTAGATTTGTTAATGGAATATTGTTTTTATTTGTTTACATTTTGGTTATGTTGCCATTTCCCAAGCAGCATGGGTATGAATTTACTATTTCCTTAAATAACTGTGGAAGAATACTTAAGAACAACGGGCACACTTCAAAATTTCCTATTATAAAGATTTAGTCATTGCATCTTTTCTCTATAATTTGGAAATCATAAAATCTTGCTTTAATGGAGTACTCTGAAGAAGGGGTTGTCCATTATTTTCAAATGTTTTTAAAGAATTTAGATCATTGTGACAAATTATTTCATCCGTGTGATATCACATGAGATAATTTGTCACAGTGATTTAATGGTATCAATTGCACAATTATATGACATAAATTATGTAAATTACTTAAGAAAATTACATACAAAGTTCATTGAGTCAGCCCAGGTTTTGCTATATAGTTGATAATGAGGGGTCCTTGGTGCTCTCTGAGCCTGCTTTTTTTTCTTGCAGATGTTTCATTACCCCAACTAGGCAACATCATCAGTGCTAGCATCCCACATTTCAACCCTGAGCTACAAATGTTCTCCTTTATTGATATAGTTGATAAATTTGTTGGAAAAAACAGCTGTACAAACTGGTAGTAGTTGAAGAATATTTTCAACTAAAATTGGATAATTAATCAAATAAAAAAATCCCTTATTTATATGCTATTTAGGGGCCTTTTAAATCTATATCTTTTTAAAGCCTTAAAAAAGTATATTTTCACAAAAACATTAAGCTTTATATCTGAACATATGAGATGTACCAAAGTAATGAAAGCACATTTAAAATGTACAATGATTCTTCATTCCACAAACATGAAATTATTGATTTGTGTACTTTACAAAAATAATGCTTTCCATTTAGGCTCTTTTTCAATACAGTCAATACTATTAACGGAAAGTAGATCACAGTCTCAATTTGAATAGCTAGAGTATATTTTTATACTTACTCTCCAAAGATAATCTAGTCCTATTAACTCCAAGTCATCCATCATATAGGCTCTTCTCTTAGCTACTAGCTTCCCTTCCCGACAGTTTACAGCTTTGAAGAAACGTTCAAAACATTTCATTCCATTTTCTGTTAAGAGTGAAGGGTCCAATTGAAGAACATTGTTTTCAAAAAAGTCTTTATTAATGTCAGGGTCTAAGTCTGGTTCATCTCCCATTAGTTTAGAATACCATTTAAAACAGGCTTCACGATCACACAGGTAGACTGCATTTTCAGCTAAACATTTCCATATTTGTTTTGCCTGAGGAGCACAGAGCCATAATTGACCATCCTTCAGTAAAAATCTTGCAGAAAACAAAGGAACAAATAATTAGAAATATGTATTAATCCCATGAATAGTTTAAAAATAAAGTTTATCATATATACCTAAATTCCAAAAATTTGAAATTTCCAAAGAGAGAAAAGATAATTTAGCATTATTACATACTGTGCACATTACATACTTTCACATTATTCTGAATGTATATTCATAAAAGGAAGTTACTGTGTTTAATGTTCTTTGACTACTATAAAAGATTAAGGGGGTAAATACAAGAAAATGTGGACAGGCACATCAACTGTATTTCTGTGAACTTCATTTAAGATATTTCCTTCCAAATCCTGACAGGCTAAGTTTCTCTTTTATATTTCCTAATTTCTTATCCTTAAAACTAGCTATTCAAATGTGTTTTGATGAATCAAGAGCTATCGATCCATTTATTCAAAAAGGAAGCCTAGTTCTTTTCCCATTCTTCTGGAGCAGCTTGGCTATGAAGTAATTGTTCTAACTGTAGGAACTCTAGTGAAAGCAATGAACTTGAAATGAATCCACCTAAAAGAGGTTATGGGTAGGTATATCAATATTAAATGAATGGGAATTAGACTGACAGATCAAAATTAAGATGCAAGAAGTCTAATCTCTTGCTAAGGATCTTTCTGTAATAATCTCAACAAATCAGAATAAGTTTATGCTACATATATTGCAATAAGATTATACAGTTTTTCACAAATATATTTTCTCTGCTTAAGGAATATTTATTTTTTTTACTCTGTGCCCCTGTCCAAAACACAAGCTGTGCTTAAACCAACCGTAAAAAGTTCAACCGCTCTTGGACTTCTTGAACATGACTGTATCTACTTCCTGGTCTTACAGTTTGTGGATCATATTCTCCATGCTCTGCAAATTTTTAAGAAGCAGATGTTATGATTTTATATATGTTTAATCATCAGTAAGTCCCAATGTATCCAAAGAAATCCATTTAGAATTGACAACATTTTAGTATTGTTGAACCATTTATGTTTTAGGTATGCAACAACTGTACCAATGTCTTTATGATTCTTTTATACCTTATTCAAAAATCCTTCACCAAAATTTATTAACATACAATTTAAAAATGTTTCATAAACAGAAATAGACTGTGAAAAATATTGTACTTTTGCAAAACAAATCAATGTCCTACACACTTTTTGTCTAAAAATGAATTTTACATGTTCCTCTTTAGAGTAGGTGATCTCACATTAATGCTAGCCTTCAGTAGCTAACAATGTTTAGGAAAAAAAACATTTGCATTTTAATGAGCTAAACAACTTTAAAATTTAACTCACCTTTAGCATACTGTCGCATGCTTTCCATATATGCTGAAAGATTTTCTGCAACTAAAGTTACTAAAGCATGATTGTGCTGAAGTTGATTGATTAAGTCATGACGATAAAACACATGGGGGCTTCGCTGCGTTTGACTGCAATTAAAAACATAAAACTTACAGGTGAATATTTAATATGAATATTTTTATTAAATACTATTTACAGAAAATAAATGACAGTCCAAGTAGGTAGTATACTTTTAAACCCATTCAAAACTGGAAAAAAAAACTAAAATCTGTCACAGAACTATTTCCATAGTTTAATGAATTGTTCAACAGCAAGTTAATCTCTATAGCATAATATAATCACTTTTGAGAAATTTCTGAACCATAGTTTGCCATCTAGCAAAAATTAACAAATTTAAAATACAATATGAAGATGAATGCTGTTTTCTGGCAGAAGAAAGACGCAAATCTAATATTGCTGATAGCTCTTTAGAACCCTAGAATCACATCACAAAAATTCAGTGACAGAATATGAACTGGGTGACTTCAATCCATTTTTAGCCGTTTGGGATAATTTTATGGGTCAACCATCTCGACCATTCCTCTCTTTTGGTGACTACAGATGATTCTTGCTTAATGACCACTCATCCAATGACTGTTCAAGTAAGTGCTAGTTAAGTACAAGGATGTAAATCCTCATACTTGCGATGTCAGAATAACCTATGATCACGTGATCATCATTTGTAACCTTCTTTGCTGGCTTCCAACAAAGTCAATGGGGAAGCCAGGAGGAGGTCCTGAATAGCGACCACATGACATTTCATTTGATGACTGCATGGGCTTTGCTTAATGGAAACCAAAAAAGTGGCAAAATTTCCATTATTGTGGTCATGTGACATTGCACCGTGCTGTTTAGCAATGAAAATTCCTTTTACTTGTTAAGTGAAAACTACCTATATTTTCTTTGTTCTCTGAAGGTCAAAGGACTAAATTATGACCCTATTCCTTGAAAAACTGCCATCCATGAAATGAAGGTAAATAAGTTACTTAATTACTTCTTTCTCAACTGCTGTTTTAAAATCATTTATCAAAATAACTGACATGAATATTAATGACAACTCAGTTTCAATATTTCCCTTAAACCCTACCATATCCAATTTATACTCTTTAACAATTTACATCTTAATAACATCCAAAGGTTTAAATGACCAAGATAGTATCTTATTTCAAATTCTTTATACCAGAATTCTCCAAATTCTGGTCAACATCAACTTCCACAAGTCAGTGGGGTTATCCATTATTGTTTTGTTATTATTTATATTATATTATTAAAATTATATTATTTTCATACAATATTTGGTTTGTGTGTGTGTCAATGAGCAATCTGAAAACTTCATGAAGAGACCAATGAGCTGAAGAGATTGGGGATTCCTGCATTAGGTTTTATTTTGCCCCTATCAATTTTAAAATTTATTCTTGCCATGCCATTTGAAAGAGGCTAATACTTAGTTTGTTGCATGAAGGGGTTACATGCACTCTACGTGAATACTATTACCACATAACTAAATACAAATAAATCATGTATTTATGCATTGTACTAGATTTTATTACAATTTTACTATATAATTACCTTAACTTCTCACCTTAAGTTTTGTGGCGCTTCTCCAAACAAACTACAAATTTCCCTAATTTGTTTCAAGGCTGGAATTACCCATTTGTCATTTGTGCGGAGTTCTTCTATAAAACGATCTATCCATTGTATTTTTTGTGTATCTCGATCCTTCAGGAAAAGAAAAGTAAGCATAAACATAAAGGAAAGAGGATAAAGATAGGCCAAAAATTAACTAGAAAAAGTAAGATCATCCTGGGCAAAAGCAGAGAAAACCTACTCCTAAATAATGGCAATTATAAATATAACATCAAGTTGCTTCCTTATCCAACTTGTACATGGAAAGCTTACGTATTGTCAGAATTTTACTTCTGTCCCAAAGGAGCAAGACTGAAATGTACCATTTATTTATGTAATATGGCCCTCCATGACTCTTGGTGAAATATTGGTAAGTTCATTTTAATGGCTAAATAACAATTAATCCTTTGTTGTTGTTAGTTGTGAAGTCGTGTTCGATCCATAACAATCCCATGGACAACATTCCTCCAGGCCTTCCTGTCTTCTACCATCCTCTGGAATCCATATAAGCTCACGCCTACTGCTTCAGTGACTCCATCCAGCTACCTCATTCTCTGTCGTCCCGTTCTTCTTTTGCCCTCAATCCTTCCCAGCATTATGTTCTTCTCCAGTGAATCCTTCCTTCTCATTAAGCGGCCAAAGTATTTGAGTTTCATCTTCAGGATCTGGCCTTCTAAATGGCAGTCAGGGTTAATCTCCTCTAGGACTGATCAGTTTGATCACCTTGCAGTCCAAGGGACTCACAAGAGTCTTCTCCAGCACCATAGTTCAAAGGCCTCAATTCTTTGGCGCTCAGCCTTTCTTATGGTCCAACTTTCACAGCCATATATTCAACTGGGAAAACCATAGCCTTGACTATACGCACTTTTGTTTGCAGGGTGATGTCTCTGCTTTTTAGTATGCTGTCTAGATTTGCCATAGCTTTCCTCCCCAGGAGCAACTGTCTTAATTTCTTGGCAGTAGTCGACATCTGCTGTGATCTTGGAGCCAAGGAAAATAAAATTTGTCACTACCTCCAGTTCTTCCCCATCTATTTGCCAGGAATTGAGAGGGCCAGATATCATGATCTTAGTTTGCTTAATGTTGAGTTTCAAGCCAACTTTTGCACTCTCCTTCATCCGCATCAAGAGGCTCTTTAGTTCCTCTTCACTTTCTTCAATTAGAGTGGTATCATTTGTATATCTGAGGTTGTTGATATTTCTCCTGGCAATCTTAATTCCAACTTTTGATTCATGTAGCTCCACCTTTCTCATGATGTGCTCTGCATATAAATTAAATAGGCAGGGCATCAGTATACAGCCTTGCCGAACTTTCCCAATTTTGAACCAATCAGTAGTTCCGTGTCCAGTTCTCATTTGTTGCTTCTTAATCTGCTTACAGGTTTCTCAAGAGACAAATAAGATGGTCTGGTACTTCCATCTCTTTAAGGACTTGCCACAATTTGTTGTGATCCACACAATCAAAGGCTTTAGCATAGTCAATGAAGCAGATGTTTTTCTGGAACTCCCTAGCTTTCTCCATGATGCAGCGTATACTGGCAATTTGATCTCTAGTTCCTCTGCCTCTTTGAAATCCTGCCTCTACTTCTGGTAATTCTCGATTCAAATACTGCTGGACCCTAGCTTGTAGGATTTTGAGCATAACTTTGAACATGTGAAATGAGTGCAATGGTGCAGTAGTTTGAACATTCTTTGACATTGCCCTTCTTTGGAATTGGAATGTAAACTGACATTTTCCAATCCTGTGGCCACTGTTGAGTTTTCCCAATTTGCTGACAAATTAAGTGTAGCACTTTTACTGCATCGTTGTTTAAAATGTTGAAAAGCTCAGTTGGAATACTGTCACCTCCACTAGCTTTGTTGTTGCTCAGATTTCCTAAGGCTCATTTGACTTCAGATTCTAGGGTGTCTGGCTCGAGGTCAGTGATCACCCCATCGTGGTTATCAGGGATGTTAAGCTCGTTCTTGTACAGTTCGTCTGTGTAATTTTGCCACCTCTTCTTAATCTCTTCTGCCTCTGTTAGGTCCTGCCATTTTGATCATTTAACTTGCCCATCTTTGCATGAAACGTCGCTTTCATATCTCTGGTCCTCCCTATTCTATTGTTTCCTTCTATTTCTTTGCACTGTTCATTTAAGAAGGAATTCTCTGGAATTCTGCATTCAATGGGGTGTATCTTTCTCTTTCTACCTCGCCTTTTCCTTCCCTTCTTTCCTCAGGTATTTGCAAAGCTTCCTCAGACAGTCATTTTGCTTTCGTGCGTTTCTTTTTCTGTGAGATGGTTTTAGTTGCTACCTCTTGTACAATGTTGCGAACCTCCATCCATAGTTCAGGCCCTCTATCAGATCTAATTCCTTAAATCTATTTGTTACCTCTACTGTATATTCATCAGGGATATGATTTAGTTCATATCTGAGTGGCCTAGTGCTTTTCCCTTTCTTAAATTTAAACTTAAATTTTGCAATGAGTAGCTCATGATCTGAGCCACAGTAGCTCGTCTTGTTTTTACTGACTGTATAGAGCTTCTCCAACTTTGGCTGCGGAGCACATAGTCAATCTGATTATTGTGTTGACTATCTGGTGATGTCCATGTGTAGAGTTGTCTCTTGGGTTGTTGGAAAAGAGTGTTTGCTATGACCATCGCATTCTCTTGACAAAATTCTATCAGGTTGTGCCCTGCTTCATTTTGTACTCCAAGGCCAAACTTGCCTTATTCCAGTTATCTTTTGGCTTCCTACTTTAGCATTGCAATCCCTATGATGATAAGGACATCATTTTTGGTGTCAATTCTATAAGGTGCTTTAAGACTTCATAGAACCAGTCAATTTCATCCTCTTCAGCACTAGAGGTGGACTACTGTGATATGGTTTGCCTTGGATTTGAACTGAGATGATTCTGTCATTTGGGGGATTGCATCCCAGTGTTGCTTTTCCTACTCTTTTATTGACTATGAAGGCTACTCCATTTCTTCTGAGGGATTCTTGCCTGCAGTAGTACACCTGATGGTCATCTGAATTAAATTTACCCATTTCTGTCCATTTTAGTTCGTGATTTCTAAGATGTTGATGTTCAGTCATCTCATTTGATGACGTCCAGCTTGCCTTGATTCATGGATCTTACATTCCAGATTTCTATGGAGTATAGATCTTTACAGCATTGGACTTTCTTTTCACCACCAGATACATCCACAACTGAGAATCCTTTCGGCATTGACCCTTCATTCTTTCTGGCGCTATTAGTAGTATCCCTTTGTTCTTCCCCAGTAGCATATTGGACACCTTCTGATCTGAGGGGCTAATCTTTCAGCGTCATATCTTTTTGCCTTTTGGTACTGTCCATAGGGTTTTCATGGCAAAGATACTGGAGTGGGTTGCCATTTCCTTCTCCAGTGGATCACGTTTTGTCAGAGCTCCCTGCTATAACCTGTCCATCTTGAGTGGCCCTGCATGGCATACCTCATAGCTTCATTGAGTTACGCAAGCCCCTTCGCCATTACAAGGCAGTAATACATGAAGGAGCATTCATCCTTACCTGTGAACAACTGTAATCTAAAATTTTAATGTGGGCACTGAGAGCCTGATCCATGATATCAACTGGAACATCATCACTATGTGCTAAATTCCATAGAAGATTTAGTACTTTGTGTGCCATCACACCATCTTTATCATCTTCTGCAAGACGTCGGATTAGCTCAAGTAGCTTTTCACGTTGTTTTTTACTTGCATTTGTCCAACTTGCCTAAAAACCAAGGGGAATCAATGGAAAGTTAAAAATACAGTACTATAGCAGCAAGAAAACTTTTAAGAAACTGTAATAATAAAATACAAATTAACAACATTTAGAATTTGCATGTAACTATTTTAAATGACATATATAAATACATGTTTTCTTCAGCCATACTGAGCAATTAATAGTAAGAATTAAAATAATTTTCAAAGATTATATTTGAGTGAAAGCCTCTTTTCCAGCTCTTCTAAATCAAAGCAAATTCATGGTCTTACAAATAGAATACCAATTTTTAACATCATTTTAATGTATTTTGCAATAACAATAAAATTTAATGCAAATCAGTGAAATATATCTGGCTGCACAATTATTTTTACAACTCTTCAATAAAATGCAAGAAACTCATTGGGTTTTTTACCCATTAAGAATTCAACAAATCTAAACTGTATTTAACTAACAGGAGAATAAACTACTTCTTAAAAGACTATTGGATTCCAGTGTGATTTCTTCAGAAGTCAACTGTAAATTATCTGAATCTACTGTATCATTTGAAAAGAAATGTCAATATGTCTCTTATATCTGTAGTAAAATATCAGTGAAATTTAACATACAATTTCAAATACTATAAACAACAAAAGGGAATTGACTCAGGGTAAAAGAAATTTCTGGAAGCTGAACCTGAAGTTTATTTACTATATTAAACTTAACAGAATAACAGAGTTGGAAGGGACCTTGGAGGTCTTCTAGTCCAACCTTCTGCTCAGGCAGGAAACCCTATACCAGAGGTTTCAAACTGGATTTCTTTGAGGGCCGGATCTACTTTATAGTTCTCCTCCATGGGGTGGGGGGAGAAACACGATGGACATCTTCCATAGCATTCTGCCGGCCAAAAATGAGCCATGTGGGAGCCCTGCGAGATCCCCATGTGGCCCATTTTTGGCCTTCCTGGCCTTTAGCAGTACTCTGCCAGCCTAAAACAGGCCGTGTGGGGCCTCTGTGCAGCCCTTTTCGGCTAGCAGAGTGCTGGAGACTGGGAAGGCCGAAAACATCCCGTTTTAGCCAGCAGAGGCACCATGGGCCAGTCCTCTGATATTTCCAGGCCAGCCCTGCGGGCCAGATTTAAGCACACCGTGGGCTGAATTTAGCCCACGGGCCTTGAGTTTAACATCCCTGCCCTATACCGTTTCAGACAATGGTTATCCAATCTCTTCTTAAAAACCTCTAGCATTGGAGCACCCACAACTTCTGGAGGCAAGTTGTTCCAACGATTAATTGTTCTCAGTTTCAGGAAATTTCTATTTAGTTGTCTCCTTGATTAATTTCCATTCACTGCTTCTTGTCATGGCTTCAGGTACTTTGGAGAATGGGTTGATCCCCTCTTCTTTGTGGCGGCCCCTCAGATATTGGAACATTGCTATCATGTCACCCCAGCCCTTCTTTTCATTAAGCTAATCATACCCAACTCCAGAAAACTTTCTATAAATATGTAAGCCTCCAGTTCCCTGATCATCTTGGTTGCTCTTTTCTGTATTCTTTCTAGTCTTAACATCTTTTTATATCATGGCGACCAAAACTGGATGCACTATTCCAAGTGTGGTCTTACCAAGGCATTATAAAGTGGTACTAATACTTTGTGTGATTTTGATTCTATCCCTATGTTAATGCAGTCTAGAACTGTATATTGGCTTTTTTGGCAGCTGCAGAACACTGCTGGCTGATATTTAAGTAAATGTCCACTAGGACTCCAAGATCCCTCTTGCAGTTACTAATATTGAGCCAGATACTGCCTATTCTATTCTACTGAGCCACCTATTAGTATCAACATAAATTGAAATTTGATTATATCTTACTTAAAGGAGTTCAATGAATAGCAAATTAATAGACCAATTACCTTAAAGCAATCAAACAAATGGTCAAGCTGTTCAGGAGAGAAATCCCAGGCCAATTTTGCAAGCAGATCATGTACATTTTTCACAATGGCTTCATGTTTTCCTGCCTTGAAAAGCAATATATTAATGTTGTTTTTATGTTATTTGTAGAAAAAAGTACATGTTGCAACATTATTATCACAAAGTACAATTTTAAGGTAAACTGATTAAAATTCAAGGATTGGTATATTTATGATGTAATTTATGCTGCTTTACAAAGCTATCATCAAGAAGCTACAAAATAAACAAAGAGTGGCGAAAACATGAGAATGCTTAATAATACATGGTTCCTTCTATTTTATGTATCTCAGCTTGAAGAAAACAGCAACAGGCAGCCTTTGAAGAAGTGCAAGCCAAACCTAATTTCTGGGAGAAAGCTAGAACATGAAATGTGATGACAGAAAACTAATATTGCTTCATTACATAACATCAGGGAGATGCTTTAATTTTCCAAGAAAGTACTGTGGAAGCTGTTCAGGACAAAATGTGAGAACTGCTTCAAGCTTCATGAGACCTTTGGTTGAGATTGATAGAGCTGAATAGGTGAAGGTTATTAGAACAGATACAGGTAGTCCTGGACTTATGATCACAATTGAGCCTAAAATTTATGTTGTTAAGTGAGACATTTGTTAAGCGAGTTTTGACCCATTTTATGATCTTTCTTGTCACAGTTAAGTGGATCAGTTGATAAGTTAGTAACACGGATGTTAAGTGAATCTGACTTCCTCACTGATTTTGCTTGTCAAAAGGTGATCACATGACATCGGGATACAGCAACGGTCGTAAGTATGAACCAGTTGCCAAGCATTTGAATTTTGATTACATGATTATGGGGGTGCTAGAAAGGTTGCAAGTGTGAAAAATGATCGTAATGATCTTTTTTCAGTGCTGTTGTAATTTTAAATGGTCACTAAATGAACTGTTGTAAGTTGAGGACTACCTGTATATTCTATGAATAAATGCAAAGAAAGGAGAATGAGATCAGAAAATATTGGAAAAGTTTAAACAGAATCTGTAAGCACACTTAGAAGTTCATGAAGAAGCTAAAAGTATACCATATTTTTTGGACTATAAGACATACCTAGCTTATGAGGAGGAAAACAAGAAAAAAGTTTTTTGCCTCCGCACATCCAGTTTTTGCCCTCCCTGGCATCCAGAAGCACTCTGCAGGCCAAAAAGGGGCCGGTTTTTGGCCTCCCAAACCCTCCATAGGTCCCGTTTTTGCCCTCCCCGGTGTCCAGAAGCACTCTGCAGCCAAAAATGGGACCCGCCCATTTTTGGCAAGCAGAGTGCTTCTGGACACTGGGGAGGGCAAAAATGAGCCATAGAGAGAGTTCAGGCGGCCAAAAACAGGCCTGGATTTGCTCTAAAAGATGCACAGACATTTCCACCCACTTTTTTTTGGGGGGGGAGTGCATCTTATAGTCCAAAAAATATGGTAATTAGAGTGGAGTGAGAAAGATTAATTTGGATAATAAATTGCTGGATGGACATAAATTAATGAAAGTGAAAGAGGTGGTTTTAATGATGAGACTGCAATGCTTAAGATCAGAGTAGATAGGAGTGTTCAAGATCCAAAATATTTATTTTGCTTCAAATTTTTATGAACAGTTTCAAAGCAGTCCTATTTCAGTAAAACAAAACATTTAGGCTAAAACAAAATCTGGAGGGATCTCAGGATGATTTTTTTTATGGGATGAATAAAGAAAAGCTGCTTCCTGCCTTCTACTCAGTAGCACCTAGAAAGGGATACACTCCTTCTCAGTGTGCTGAGAGAGAATCCAAGGAATGGGTTAACTCTGCTCTTCCGCTCAGAGTCAATCAATTCTTTGGCCACGCCTCCTTTGCTTGCGCATGCCCAGTTTTGATGAAGACATAGTGATTAACTTGACATATTTTGGTGCTGATTTTGGTCACTCCTGGACTTTGGACCAGATGGTCACCAGGATGGGGTTGGATTCTTTCTCAGCACACCAGTATCAGGTTAAGACCAATGCCCCTTCTCCAGTGTTCTGAGTAAAGAATCCAAGGAATGGGTCATACCAAAGCCGGCAGTCCTAAGGGTGGGTAACAGTCTGGTCCCGAGTCCCAAAATCTATATGCATCTTCTGAAGCACCCGTGTGGTGAAGGCCACTTCAGCTGAATGAAGGCATCCAGTTTGTAGTGTCTCATGAACAGGATGGAAAAGACCATGTTGCTGCCCTACAGATGTCCTCGATAGAGACTGTCACTTGCCTGGGTAATGGAAGGGCTTGAAGCTCATAAACTTTGGCGATGCATGCCCGGATCCACTGGCCTATGGTCAATAGTGTAACCTTGTTAGGGCTGGAACGGTGGAAAGATACAAACAGGGATTCTGTCCTTCTAAGAGAGGCTATCTTTTTTAAGTAAGTGCGGAGGGCCCTCCTGTTTGAATGGAATATGCAAACAGGCAACCTTGAAAGTGAGGAAGCACAGGCTGCCTGATCGTAATGGCTCGAATGGCTCTGATATGAGCTTGTAGTTCTTTAGGCAAGTCCCGGGGGGGGGGGGGAGATACCTGTGTACTACGGGAGGTTTCAGGTTAGTTGCACCTCTAATGAAACCGCGCACCATCAGGTGTAGAGCAAGCGACTCCAGATCTCTTCAGGATAACACCGAGGCCAGAGCCACTACTTGTCTGCATATGGTATTGGGGGACAGACCGTTGTCCAGCTCTTCCTGAAGGAATTCCAGGATTTTGGCCACTGATACCGCGGTGGAATCGAAGTCACCCTTAGAATATCAGCCAACGAAGGCCCTCCAAGTTGCGTCATAGATTCTGTTGGTTGAAGGCCTCCTAGAGGCCTGGATCATCTGGAGAAATTGAGCTGCCTCAGAGCTGTCCACTCAAATATCAGATGGTCAGTTGTAGTCATTGTGGTTCTGGATGAATTAAGGCTACCTGGCTGAGGGAGATTCCGTCCTGAGGGATTCTCCAGGGTCTGGATACTGACAGGCTGACCAGATCTGCTTACTACAGATCTCTGCCTTCTCTGCCAGTACCTTCTTGATTATCCTCAGGATGAGCGGAAGCGGAGGAAAAACATATAGTAGGCCTCGGGGCCACGGACTATGGGAGTGCATTGGTCCCTTCCACCCCCAGTGTTGTAAACCTGGAATAAAACCTGGGTAACTGGATGTTTGATGGGGAAGGAAACAGATCCAGGCTTGGGGAACTGAACCTTTCTGAAAGCTCCCTGAATAGGTTTGGGGGCAGGCACCACTGAGTGGTCAACCATGACTTGCTGAGCCAGTCTGCCTGTACGTTCGCTGTCCCATGTGTTCTTCCCTGATGGAGAGAAGATGGCTCTCTGACCAGAGGCCCAATTGTTCTGCCTCTCGCATGAGGGATGTGGAATAAGTGCCCCCTTGGCAGTTGATATGGGTCTTGGCAGCTACATTGTCCCTCAGAATGAGTACATGGTGATCAGAGAACATGTCCTGGAATTGCCTGAGGGCCAAGTGGGTTGCCCTGAGCTCCAACCAGTTAGTATTACTCTTCAGGTCCGATTGAGACCACTGCCCTTGTGCCATCTGGGACTGACAGTGGGCACCCCAGCCCAAGAGGCTGGCCTCTGTGGTGATGGTTAGGCGGCTGGGCTCCTTGAAAACACATCCCTTGGTTATGGCCTGAGACATCCACCACTGGAAGGATTGCAGTACCTTTGATGAGATTTGAACCCTGGCATTGAGTTGTTCCTGTCAGACTGTTTGTAGGGCAGGAGGAATTACTGCAAGATCCTGGCATGCAAGCATGCCCAAGGTATGACTAATATGCAGGACACCATTTTGCCCAGGAGTTGCGAGAGAAGGACCAGACACACTACTCGGTCCACTTGGATTCAACTCGCCAAGGTCCTTATAGTGACTTGACGCTCCTGAGATAGATAGACTTCACATGACCTGGTATCTATGACTGCACCCAGGTGTAGCAGTCGGTTGGAAGGAGTTAGATGGCTCTTGTCGAAATTCACAGAAAACCCGTGATCCTGTAGAGCCCAGATAGTGATTTGCAGGTCTTCTGCCGCTGGAGGAAAGAGGCGGATTGTATCAACATACTGTCCAGGTAAAATTGGATGCGCACTGGAATCGCCCAGAGGTGTGTTGCTAGTATCAGCAACAATTTGGTGAAAGTCCTGGGCTCTGAAGATAGGCCAAATGGTAGAGCCTTGTACTGATAATGCAGCCCACATAATGGAACCGCAGGAACCTCTGGTGAGATGGCAGGATAGGTATGAGGAGGTATCCCTCCATTAGCTCTATGGATGTTCCCCAGTATTGACTGGAGGGACTGCATCTTGAATTTTTTGTAAATCAGATGTCTGTTTAATCTTTTCCAATCCAGGATTGCTCTCCACCCCCACCCCACCCCCAAGGTCTTTGGAACTATAAACAGAATGCAGTAAAACCCCTGTCCCTGTTGTTCTTTTGGGACTGGTTGAATAGCTTGGATGTCCAGCAAGTGTTTGAGCGCTATCTCCATGAGGGTTCTTTTCACCTTGTCCCTTGAGATGGGGCAACTTATGAAGAAGTTCAGGGGTGTGGAGAGGAATTCAAGGGTGAGATCTAGTCTCACCATATTCAGGACCCAGATATCTGTAGTGGCTGCTTCCCATTGATTGGCAAATAGCCTTAAGCGCCTGCCAATGGGAGGGCTGGACCTGCCGACACTTGGCATGGCAAAAGGGGAGACTGCCTGTGCCCCAAAATGGCTGCTTGCCTTTGAAGTGTTGTCTATTCCTGTCTCTGAATCCGGATCTGTCTGGTTGCCAGTCTTATCTGTGGGTGTACGTCCTCGGGATTGAGGGGTGCTAAACCCCATATCTGTGGACCAAAAGGAAGGTCCACAAAAATAAGGCTAGGGAGGGTTTTAAGCTCGTCGATATACAGAAGATAGGACCTTTCCCCTAGCCTTAGTCTCCACTAAAATGGGCTCTAGGGCCTCTCCAAACAGCTTGCTACCCTTGAAGGGAGCAGAGGCTAGTTTCCACTTATATTTCATGTCTGCCTGCCAATGGTGAAGCCACAGCAGATTGGCATCGCAGACAATGGCCCTGGAAGCAAGCTTGGTGGCATTCAAGGTGGCATCTGCTGAGAATTCCATAGCCACTATCAGTTTGTTGATGTCCTGGTGTCTGCGAGGCGGGTGTCGGGGAAGAGGCTCTTATGAGGAGTGGATCGGCCATCGCCAGGCTCTGAGGCGGGTTTCTCTCCCACCAAGGGTACAGACTTCGGGTGGGGAGAAAACGGTGCCTGGCTCCCCTCCAAAGGCAGGAGAGGCAAGGAGCAGAAGCAACAGTCCAAAGTTGGAGGCTATTGAAAGAAAGCAACTCTCCTCTTGGTGGGGGGGAGTGTTGTATGTGAAGGTATCAGCCTCCCCCCCCCCTTTTCTTGCCTGCCTCCAGGAGAGGCTGGAAGAGTGGCATCACCTGGAGCTTTTCCTCAGTTGCAGATCTGAGCTCTTTCAATCCTCCCCCGGATCTGCAAGGAGCCCCCACTTTCTCCCACTCTCCTCCCTCCCAATTAATCACTTCCCCGGCCTTTGTCCAAAGAGCCCTCCGAGGGCGGCAGTCCTTCTGCGGGCAGTTACCTGCTGAGAAGCCTCTGGAGGGGTGGCTGAGGGGTGCTGTCCCTCAAGGAGAGCAAAGCCCCCTTTCAGCCTCTGCTTCTCCCAGTGGCAGTTGCCCCAAGGCCCCTCAGTTCAGCCCCCCTGCCCACTCTTCTGTCTCTTTGGAAGGTGCAGGTGGAGAGAGGGATGGAAGCAGCCCGTCCCTCCTTCCCTCCCCCAACTCCAGGCAGCCACACCTGGCAAAGGAGGGAGAGATTTCCTCTGACTTGGGGGAGATATGAAAATGACAGATCAGATTGGGGAGGGGTCTGTTTTTCTTCCACTTGAGGGGGAGCCGATTCCTCCCCATCCAGACCTTCCCAGCCTCCAGGCACCATGTGACTTCTTTTGAATCCCAGCAGTATTAAATCCTCCCTCTTTCCCCCAAAGGATATGAGGCCCCTCCTTTCCCTTCGCTCTGCCCCACAGTTCCCAACCAAGAGAAAGTGCTGGCCTGGACACACAGCGCCCCAGGGTCAAGCTAGGCTGATGTCCCCCTACATAGATCCAGCAGACAAAACAGGAAAGGGGGGGGCAGAGAGAAATATTTAGTTGTTCAGTACGCCAAAGTGGGAGGCCAGTGGACCAGAGAGCTTCTTCTCCATCTTCCTAGGAGCATGGGACTTTTCATGACTGGACCCTAGGATCTCTTGCAGTTTGTTCTGCTGCTGGAGGATGGGCTGCATCCTCCAGCAGCAGAACAAATATGATTTTTTAAAAATATGATTTTTTAAAATTAGTTCTAAAAAATTCATACTAGTGGTCCGCGGGATTTAAAATTATGAATTTGGTGGTCCCTAAGGTCCAAAAGGTTGGAAACCCTGTAATGGGTCTAAAAAACTGGCAAAACTGTTCATGGAGCATATTTATTGACTACATAGAGTGCCGCATTGAGTGCTCTCAGACCGAGGTGTTCAAATTACCGCTAAGCTCTGGAGGGAGTTTTTAAAGTCCTTTGGGTCGTCCCACGGACTTTCCTCAGATTTTCATCCTGCTTGTTATGGGGCTGCTGAACTTGCGAACGCTATGGTGGAACAATACATTAGATGTTATGTAAATTATCAATAAGAAAATTGGGTGGATCTATTGCCGTTTGCAGAAGTGGCTTATAATAATGCAGTACACAGCAGCACTGAGTTGATTCCTTTCCAAATCACTTACCCGCATGGACTTCGTTCCTATGCCTGAGTTACCTAGAGAACCCTCAACATCCATGTCCTTAATGGATTGGATGGAATCATTAAAAAAGGGTTGGGAGAATACAAAAAAAGCTCTAGCAGATGCAACTGAGGAATATAAAAAGCAGGCAAATAAACACAGATCTCTCCAACCGGCTTTTAAGGTGGCTGACACCCAGTCTTCCATTGCAGCTTGTTGAAGCCTGCTGTTGATTCCAATTTTTCGACCAATACCAGCAACTCCCCCCAAACCTTTGGTAGTACAAGGTGAAACACATTATGAAATCAAGAAAATCCCTGATTCTAGATTACAACGAGGATGATTACAATATTTAGTGCTGTAGAGAGGCTATCCTTTGGCAGAAGCTACTTGGGTGAAAAATTGGGATGTACATGCAGATATTGATTACCCAATTCATGACAAGTTCCCCGACAAGCCAAAGGGCCCCTTGCAGGGGGGGGGGGTTTAAGTGGATTGATGACAAGACATTTACCCCTTGTTGTTTATGGTATTTTTCAGGACGTAATTTTTTGAAGGGGGAGACACCTGTCAGCTTTGGAAGCCATATTAGCACCAGAAGCTGCCACATTCTTGAGCATGGGAAGGGGGATTTTATGGAGCATATGTGGTTAGACATTCTTCTTTAAAGTCAAGGTCAGGTTATTCCTGCCCGTGGCTGAGGAGTGGTTGAGGGGATGTCTCAAGTTGGGACAGATGGTAATTGGCACATATGATGGACTGATGGCTGCACGGGGTGGATTTGTAATTTTTTACTTATTGGAGGGAAACCTGGAACTTTCATGTTCAGGATTTCCTATATGTGCCAGTATACTTACTCTAATAAAAAAAACTTTGAGAAAATGCTCGTCTTGGAGTTTTTAATTGGAGTTGGATTTTTCTGGAACCTTGATAGGCCCAATGTCTTTGGGCGTCTCGGAATAGCTTAGGTAAGGAAATTTCCTCACTCTTCACAGTTGACTCTGAAAAGAGCAGCTCATCTGTGTCCACCAGGTCTGCTCCCAAATGTGCTGCTGCTTTGGCATTAAATAAGAATTTAAAGAGGGCTGGACGAAAGAACCCTGCAAATGCTGGGGGATCTGGAGCCATTCCCTCATTCTCTGAAAGTTTTTTGGTCCTCATCTATTAAAAGGAATGCCCTGCTCTGTATATTTGAACAGGTTGAGTGTGACCTTTGGAAAGCCTCCAGATCTCTTTGATACTGTGATGCCATAAATTGGTTTTGAAGTATGGGTTTTTCCGATGCCCCAGGGGCAGCCTGACATTCCTGTTGTAGATGGCCTGTGTTAAGACTTCTGCTATCAGAATTTTCATCTGGTCCATGATCTCAAGCCCCTGGCTCTCCCTTGGGCAAGGTCCTGCTGCTGTGGGTGTAAAGGTGGCCTTTGGTGTCACCTTCATCCATTTTGGCGGTGGCTCCCACTGCCTTTCTGCTTTCACTGACGTGTATCAGCAAAAACCTCATTGCCTTCTGAATAAAGAGATGGCCGATAGAATTGCTCTCTGGCATCATCTGGCGACTCAACCTGAGAGTAAGGAATCTGTTGCTTTACCCCGATTGGACGATTTAGCTGCTGAGCTGGTAGAGCGCGGGAAATTTCAATCATTCACTATCCAGGGGAGCTTTTCCCCCTCTTTCGCTCTGCCTCCTTCTCGGCCTTGGCAATCCCTTTGTCAATGGTCTTCTGGTGCCTCCGGGGGTCTTTTTCGTCAGCCTTTGAGGGTCTTTGTGAGGAAAGGGCTTTTGCTTTTAATCTGGCCGCTGCTCCTTTAGTGATCCACTTTAGTCCTGCAGAGCCGTTTGGCCGGATCTGGGTCTGGACAGGGAGCCCCTGGTTCTCCCCATTCACCCCTGGCATTGCATGGTCCACATGGTCCGCCATTTTAGTTTTCTGCCCCTCCAGGCAAAGCAGGCTCGTTCCTAAGTGGAACCTTCTGTCACGGCTTTTCTCTTTAGCCTCTTCGGAGTATGGCCAAGACTCAATTGTCACCTTCGCTGTCCGGGTGGACTTCACCTGGGGACCTCAACTCTACCCAGGAGTCAGAATAGGCGGCTATGCTGGACAGACTGGGGAAACCAATCTTGAAGAGGGTGGCTATTCTGGGCAGAGTGGGGAGCCAGCAGTGGATGGGCAAGGCCATTTAGCCAAGCGGCTGTGGAGCTGGCCATGGCAAGGATGGCTATGCCAGACAGACCGGAGGAGCCAGCCTCCCTGTTTGCAGTCCTGTGAAGGCTTATGTGGAGCCGGGACCTTATTGTTTTGAAGAATTCAAGGAATAACTGTTCTTTTTGTTCACGAGCACCTCTTCTACAGATCTCTTCTGAGCGAAGACTGAGTCAATGCACAGGCAAAAGAGCGTGACCAAAGAATTTATTGACTCGGTCTCCGAGCAGAAGAGCAGAGTTAACCCAGTCCTTGGATTCTCTACTCAGCACACTGGAGAACTTCATATCCAACTTCCTTCATCAATTCCCAATTTTGCCAGAACTTCCCTTCCCCTCAGGCATTGTGGATTTACTGCGCTATATACAATGAACCAGTTCCCTATTGTAATTGTCTCAACAATAAGGAACATAATCCAAGCATAGCATCTTCCACAGCCTCTTCTGTCCCTGATCTTTCCAGAGCCTGCCTTCCTAAACAAATGGTTGTATATTGAGGACTACCTGTACTGAACAATTTGAACTAGAGCTACTATTAAAAATACTTGCAGTTTATTTGAAACTTTGAAAAGAGTTAATTTTTTTGCACCCTTGTAAAGGGATAGGACAATGTTTCAGAGATGAAAGAATTAATATTGTAGTACAACAGACAGACAAAATGTGGCCACACAAAATTGGTCTCACTCAAGAGGATAGTATTTAATTCTTACCTGGGCAGCCCAAATGTTGTCAAGATCTTGCAAGGTTAAGGCCTTTTCTTTGATGACAAAACGAAGAATTTTCTCTAACTTTTCTACATACTGAGGTTGATGTAGACTATCTCTCAACACAATTGATAAAATGTTGTTTTGCTGGATCCATTCCTAAACAGAACATGAATGTGTTAGATACAATTAAAATACATACATATTTCCCTTTTGTTTCATTTTAGATGAGTAAAGCAATGCATTATAAAACTCTTGGGGAGAGAACCACAATTTGAAAAAGGAATACTAATAATATTCATCAACTTTTTCTTCCTAGAACAAGCATATTCAATTGACTATTTCAGATTTCACAATGACTATGTACAGTATAATTTTGCTATGTAAGCATGTAGTAAGATATAATGTGAATTGGATTAGCTTTACCCTTGATATTCTGGAAGCCTCTTGAGATCTGGTTATGTCCACCAAGTCTGAGGGGTCCAGGGAACTGGAGACATGTTTACATGCCTCCATTATTGAGGTATATTCATTCTTCTCTCTCCCTTACCCCCTCTCTTTCTCTCTTTGGGTTTCTACATATTTTCCTTTTAATTAACTTTTAACTTTTTAATGACTTTCATATTTTTAAATGTAATGTTTTTATTTAATTATTGTGCACTACCAAGAGTCACTTCTCATGAGATGGGTGGCTATATAAATTTGATAAAGTAAATAAATTCATGCATATTCTTTAAACAGTTACCCACTGAATTAAAGCAAATAAGCTTACTGCCATTCTTTCTGCTGTAAGCCATTCTTCCTCTTCAGGATTGCCATGTCGATGGGTATAATATGACACACTGGATATCACTTTGTTAACTTCATTTAGTGCATTCATTTTTCCATTGAAAGATGAAATTTGTAATAATCTATGAAGCAATGTTAAAATAACATTTAAGGGAACCAGAAAAAGATAACTCAACTCCTAAAAAGCGTTAGCGCAACTAAAGAGATCTTACCTAAGTATCATTTTTAATCTAAATATTTCTAAGTTTTTAACTGTTTCCTCTTGTCCTGGAACTCTTGAGGCTAAGTTCTTCAGAGATTTTATTATCATTGACAAAGCATCATTTTTGGCTTCATTCTTAGCTTCTTTCTTCAGTTCATCATCAGTTAAGTTCTCTAAAAACTGTGGAACCATTTCTATAATTGGAAGGAAGTATTTCTTCACTGTATGCAGTGTTAAAAACTCATAGCATTGTCCAAATGGTCTGAAAGAAAGATATCAATGTAAAGGAAAAACTAGTTTTAAGTAGTAAACAGCCATATTTATAACTCTTTTCACAAAAATTAATCAAAGCAAAATTTACTATGACTGATTGAAAAATAAACTATTTAAGCCCTCTTAATGGACTGACTTGCTGTGTATAAAATATGAATTGGATTTACAACTTCAGGGTAAATCTGATTGATTACAATCTTAATACAGGTAACTACTGTAACCCAAGTTTTAAAAAGTAAAACAGCAAGAAGCTCTGTATCCAATGGCAAGTATTGGACGAAGCCTAAAGATTGAAGTTAGGAAACAGGTGGGAAGCTGTTTATGATCTCTTCTGTAGAGATAATCCACAATGTTTCTGCTATGTAATGATGAAATGTCCAAAGAAAATAGAAAAGATACAGACTAAACTAATATGTGTACAATGTATAATCTCTGGAGGGGCACGTTCCATGAGGTGAAGTGGTGCTAACGCCATCTGCATCTACTGCATCTATGGAGCAGAAGGCTTTTGTAGTGCTAGTTCTTGTAATATTTATACTGTCTTTGCCCCTATCTTGTTACAACAACTTTGGTGCCGATGTAAGCCACCTGCTTGGAGTTAGTGGTAATAGAACTTCTACAATAACTCCAAGTAACTTTGGAAAGTTTGAAACTATGAACTTCATTTTAGGATATGTCAAGGCATTCAACATTGAATGAAACCTGAAATCAATTGGTTACAGCATATCACACAAGTTCAAATCCATGGCTATATCTAGATTCTGTTCCCAGGAAAACATGGAAAAAACTAAGCAATTTTGGAAGTCAGCACAGGGAATCCCAGGGCAAAAGTCACTTAAGAGTTCTGGGGTGGCACAATCTTCCCCACAATCAGAACACTTTGGAAAAAGAGTATCAAGGCTATATGACTAAGGAGCCTAAAAGTGAAATGAAAAAGGAAATGTCAATGGCATTAAATTTTTAAGAATGTAAAATGAAGAACAAAGAAATGGAGAAGGAAAGCCAGGAGTGGACAAATCACAAAGCCACCAATATGACAGAAAATAAATTAGTCTATTTTTAGCAAGACAGTATTATTATACTGTACAGCATAGGTGAGAGAGTGGGATTTTAATCTTTTCATCTCCACTAAAGAATTTTCAGGATGCTAGACCATATAAATTATAAATATATAAACCCATATAAATTCATCACTGTGATGGGTTGCATACTATGGAAGAATGAAACTGAAGTTATTCTTCTGTGGCATCCATCCATCACAATGAAGAGTTTAAATAAGTCAATTGTCACTCTGATGTTCACTTTTGGGGAGTAGAAAAAATAGAACTTTCAGCAATGATTTTGATAACATCTAATTAAGAAAATGTCAGTAACAAAAATTATTTTCTGTACCCAAGATAAATATTTTTTATCAAAGGCATTCTATTAAGCTTAAATGAATATTTAATTAGTGTTTATTTTTTTGTGTAATAAAACTAATTTTAAATATATTTTGAGAATTAATGTAAAAGTTAAACTCTACACTACAGAAAGCTATAAAAACCTTTGGATTATTGCACATGCTGTACATGGGGCTATCTTTGAAGAGTGTTTGGAAGCTACAACTGGTCCAGAACACAGCAGTGTGGACAGTTTGGGAAGCTCATAAGGTGGCACATATAACACCCAAGTTATGCGAGCTACACTGGCTGCCGATATGCTTCCTGGTACAATTAAAGTTTATTATTTTTAAAGCTCTTTATGACATTGGCCCAGAATATCTGTGGAACAATCTTTCCCTAATGGGATTGGCCTGCCTCACTTGTGCTGGTAGAAGGCGCCTACTGTAGATCCCATCATTTTGGCTGGTGGGATCCAGGAGAAGAATTGTTTCTGCCACAGCTCCTGACCTTTGGAACATCTTGCCACAGAAGGTAAGATCCCCCCCCCCCCCACTTTAGTCTTCAGGAAATGCCTTAAAACCTGGCTATGCTGGCTGGCATGGAGTCCTGAAAGAGAAGTTGTTAGCTCGAGATGGTTGCTACATTAACAGAAGGCATCCCATCTCTGCCCTCCAAATCCTTGTTTTTTAATCCATTCTTATATTTATAATTGTTGAATATTTTATTTTGATATAAGCTGCTCAATGACCTGAACCACGAAATGGGCAGCAAATAAATTTGATAAATATAAATATTTATATCTGCAGTAATGTCAATACATCAATATAGGCAACATTTTGAAAGGGAAAAAGTCCTCCATGTTTCAAGCTCAGAACTGTTACCACAATGTGCTTGTCAGGCTCAGAGAAAGCTGGAGTATCCTCGCCAAAGATCTTGCCTGTCAGCCGATCAACCTGCCTGCCCCGCGTGCCTTTGCTCCGCTTTGGCCGAGCCCGGCTGCTTGCTTGAGGGTCTCCCTGCTCATACGTGCCCTCCTGGCCCCACCACAGCTGGCAGGGAGGGTCGCAAGAGGAGAAAGAAGAGGGTAGTCTTCGGGGAAACTTCTGTCATGGCTTGCGCTCGTTCTTCAGCCAGCCCAGATTTCCAAAAAGTTGCCAAGAAGAAAAAAAAATGAGTAGCAAAGAGCCCTAAGGAGAGCTCGCTGGCTTGGCCCAACCTCGCCTTAGAGGGAGGGAGGGAGAGAGAGAGAGAGAGAGAGAAGAGACAGAGGGGGGAGGGATAGAAATAGACAGAGATACAGACACACACACACAGACATAGAGAGAGAGACACTCATAGATACAGAGAGGAGAGAGAGATAGAGACAGAGACAGAGAGGGATAGAGAGTGACAGAGAGACACAGAGAGGGGGGAGATAGAGATGGGGGGAAAGAGAGACATAGAGAGACACAGAGAGAGGGGGCAGAGAGAGGGAGACAGAGATACAGAGAGGGGGAGAGGAGAGAGACATAGAGAGATACAGAGAGAGGGGGAGAAAGAGGGAGAGACAGACATAGGGAGAGAGATACAGAGGGGGAGAGATACAGAGGGAGGGGAGAGGGTTTTGTGGTTCCCGTTGTTTTTTAACAACCAGTTATCTGTCCTAATGACCGGTTGAGTAGGTGTGGCTGGGGGTGTCATGTGACTGGGTGGGGGTGAGTGATGTCGAGTTGGCTAGGTTTTGTGACTCCCGGTATTTTCTTTTCTGTGTGAAACTGGCTCTTTGAATGTTTAAGGTTGTAGAACTCTGCCCAAAGCAAAGTTTACTGCACAATTCTACTTGCTTAATTAAAATGAAAAGAAATATCAAAGTCTTTCTACAAACTAATGTAAAGGTTTTCCTTCTCCAGTCATGTCCGACTCTAGAGGGTGGTGCCCATCTCAGTTTCTTAGCTGAAGGAGTCAGCACTGTCCAAAGACATTTTCGTGGTCATATGGCCAGCATGACTATATGGCAAGTTGCATAAATGTTGTTGCCTTCCCACCAAAGTGGTACCTATTTATCTACTCACATTAGTATGCTTTCAAACTGCTAGGTGGGCAGGAGCTGGGCTAAATAACAGGAGCTCACCCCATCATGCAGCAGGACTCGAACTTGGGCTGTCAGCTTTCTAACTGATAAGCTCAGTGTCTTTAACCACCAAGCCATCACACTCCATACACTAATGTAGTTTGTACATTAAGGAACTTTAAATCACTAAAGCTCCTAGATAGCAAGAATTAGAATAAAGAGATTAAAAAAATAAGAAGTTGATTAATTTTGTCAAACAAACTAAATACAGTGCATTTAGATCAGAATTACAAAATAAGGTTCTCTTCATTTTGCAGTACAATACATATAATTTTTGTTTTAAGTAGTATCAATTGCAACACAAACTTTTTCATATACTATCAAAGACTTAAAAGAGTTCAAAATTTTAAATGTAACATTAGGGCTGACAAATAAGATTCAGAGTATTTTAGGAGTGCGTGCAATTTATAGTTTAGCAATCTGAATTGTAGCCATCAATGACTGTATTTTAAAAAAAATCTTTAATTGAGACAATCTGATATGAACAATCTCTAAATTACCTCTTTTGCAGTAAAAAACTATTTTTGACAGCAAATGGGAATAGATTAAAAAAAACAGGTGTTCTGATTAGTTAAGAGAAGAAATGTTTTCTACTGGAGCAAATCCACTATTGGTTATAAACTACCTTCCAAGTTTACTTTTTAATATTATGTATTCTCATGTTCTTATATTTCAGAACTGTGCAATCTTCTTTGCATTTTGAGAAGTGTGGAAACATGTGCATATAATAGTAACTTTATCATAAAATATACAGAAAAGTGATTTGAATTAAAATGAGTTACTGTTGTTCAATGACAAATTCCAAACACTTCCTTAGAAGAACTTACTTGATGAGAGCTGCAATAATCTGAACATTCAGTGCTGATCCACTCATAAAACGATCATGTAGAATTTGAAACCCATTTAAGGTGCCAAACTTGTTGATGAGATCTACTAGCCAACCCTAAAAAACAATGTTTTCTCCTTTACAAGTAATTTCTATCATCAAAACATGTATTTACATCACAGACGTTGCTCAACATATTTGATTGAAATTGGATGCCAGTATCTTTAAATTATTGTTCTTTTACCTTTACCTATCCTTTAAACTTTATTGAAATTTGAAAAATTATATCACCTGAAACCCAGTCTTTAATTATGACATTCAAAGGCAGAATAAGTATTTTATTTTTGTCAGAAACAAAGGCAGAATGATTATCTTTAAAAATCTATTTATGTTAGGTTCCATAATCTAATTTAGCTAAAATAAATTTATTAAATTGCATTAATAACAAAAATTCAAGCATTCAAGTGTTTTGTCCACAATCACTTTTATTCAATTTAATACTCTGAAAAAGTACTACTTGCGGTATAAAGGGAAGCTGAATTATCAAAATTGTCAATATCATTATTTAAATATCAGACTGAAATCATATTCTAAAAACCCTCTGCATAGGCTTCTGTTGAAATAAATGCACAAATTCTAGTTTTTCTGACTCAAATAATAAACCAAAAGAAATCGAGTTTCTGTAGTTTTCCCTTATCTCTGGAAATTACTTTTCAGAGATTTCACCTATAGTTCCAATTTCAATCAGCATACCTTTGGTGACCGTGGGTCTGGAGGACGAGCATAAAGTTCATCTTCAGCTAGCTGAGCTCCAGCAGGAACAGTTTCTGAGGGACGTGTACCATTATAAAGATGGAATTTGCAATGAGGATTTAAGGCCATTGCAAGAAGTTCAAGAAGAGGAAACCAATCTTGGGCCAGCTTTGCCACACAAAGTTCAACAAGGCGATGGGTGTTGTTAATGATACATCTCTATTTAAAAGAAAATGATTTTAGATATGCTGCCTTGTATTCAAATTCTGCCACTAATCTTATTACAGTAATAAACACAATGCTATAGTGCAATGTGTTTTAGATTTAGACTAACAATTACCAAACTCATGGGTTCCTGAGGAACTGCAGAATTTTTACAAGGGATCTGTGACACGCACCAAACATGGCAAATAAAACAAAACACAGTCACACTGCTCTTCTTTTCATAACCACTGACCAAATAATATTCCACTGCCTAGGTAGAAAATTGTAAACAAAAATACCAGCAGATCAAAGGCAACCCTTTGATGACACTTCTCTTCCATCTGGCATAGACAGTGTATGCATTTTCTCATTAATGGCACTGTTCCTGCATGTCATAGTCAGCTATGACTCAGAGGAACTTGCTAAGTGAAGCCTGTGAAAGCTTTGAGTATACAATGACATGAGGCTGGTATACTCAGCAATCACCAGAATCAGCTGTGCCCCCTCCTATAGGATGAGGAACTGGAAAAACCATCCAGACCTAGAATGCACTTTTTGCAATGGAGGAAACTTGACTTCTCTTGTTGAGAAAAACCGCAATGGTACTCAGAAGTCTGTGACCTGAGCTCAAACCTGTGGAAAATCTGCTCCTTGGGACTCCAACTAGCTGATTACCTACCTATGATATCGAAGCCCTTGTACTCTGCCCAATGATGCTTCTGTCTCTTGCTTTGGACTCTGATTACTGAAAACTTTACCATCAAATTTCCAAAGATCTGGGGGACTGCTCAAATATGACCGTGATAGCAAAATTTTCTGTCTGCCGCTGCCTGTATTTGAGCCATTTGAAGCAGATTTCCCCAACCTTTCCAGCTTTGTGGCTCAGTGGCCGGTGGTGGTGGAGGAATGGCTCCTTGTGAGCAGTGGGCAAGTGTGCACACACAGCTCCATTTGTGCGAACAGCAGGCACATGCTATAGGCACATGCTGTATGCACATGCGCTCGACTGCTACTTATGCAAGTGGGAGTGTACACTCTCACCCACTACGTCCGCGGCCTGGTTCTGAACAGCTCAAGGGTCAGTAGTGGGCCATAGCCAGGGGGTTGGAGATCCCTGATTTAAAGCAAAGTCTGCAAGCAAATTCCTTTATGTATATCTGTGCATCTATTCTGGGTCAGGATCTTGCATTGCGCCTACCTGCTATCCTGTAAACTTCTTATAAATGTCCTCACTTTGGCACAGCTGTTCTCTATGAGCTCCTGCTGTTCTCTCTGTCTTTCACACAGCTACCCAGGTATCCTATAATGACTCTCTGTGCATGTTACATCCCATATTTTCCTTCTGTATGTTTTCATATCACATCGTCAATCCATATACACATACAACATGTATACAATACTATCATAAAAAAGCTACAAAAAGTTTAATATTAAAAGTATTTCCCTATTCAAAAATTTGGTAATTATTGGTTTAAAAAGCCAGGGGGCTTGGGAAATTAAATCTCCTTTCTTAGCACACTGGATTGGCTTATTATCATATATTTATGAATAGGTAACTCCAACTTACATGAATTTCAAATTTCCAGCCACTCACTGCCTCATCTGTAAGTATTTTTGTGAAAGAAATTGTTAACCCATCTCGGAAAAATCGCTGACATGCCTCACTTTTAACATCAAGACCTGTGTAAAAAACAATAAAATTATTTCTATGGAAATTCAATCCTCAAAACATGTTGAATGACAACAGATCATTCAAAATCTAACCCTTTAAAACCCTTATTAGAACACTTTGTAGCCTTAAGTATCTATAAAAATGGAATAAAAGTGTTAGTTTCTTTAGTAAATCTAAAATATACTATTTTTAATGTGAAAAATCGGAAAACTTGGAAGAAAAAATAATCAAAGAGTAATAGTTGAGGATGGAAAGTAGACTTATGAAAACTAAATGTTTTTGAAGGGTTACAAAAGAAACAGGAATGAATAGGCATTAAGGTAGTGTCTATTTAAGACTATTACCAATTCATACAGGTAAACCATTTTAACATGTAGCCAGGAATATTAATTGTATCAATTTTTCTTAATGTTTTTTCAGCTTACCCTTTTTACTAAGCTCAATAGCAGCTTCTAGAAGAACTTCTAACTCTCCCTTGGGTAACACAGGAACAACCCATCGAGGTCTAGGAAAACATAAGAACATAATTTTACATTACATCTAGGTTTTCCTCATTCATGTGTCCCAAGTACATGGGCTGTCAATTCCTCACTCATGAATCCCAAATACATTGAGTCATAAATTCAGAAACACTTAGAAAAACTCTGCCATAATTTGATATTGTTCTTTGTAAACAATTCAAGTTTTATGTGCACTCCAAGTTTAGCAACTGAGTTCTGCTCCAACGAAGTGAATACATAACTGAGAGAATATAGATGCTGTGAAGATCATTGGGTTTCTGTCATTTCATTCAAATAAGTTCTCATACAGCTACGCATTACTCTTATTTCAGCATGCATTGTTGTCATGAATATAAAATTTGGTCATAAATGTACACATTGTTGGAAAGTTTTTTTTTTACTGTTTGTCATATTTCAAATAATCAATAGCCAAGGTAGTTGGTAAACAAGAAGTGGATGTATTTGTTTAAAAGCTACAAAATACATAGCTTTAAATATATATCCAAAATGCCAACAGAAGTTAACCGTACAACTGTTAAAACTTTTGAAAATTACAAAAATATTTTTAAAAAACCTGTTGATCATGTCATCCAATTTTGCCAAATCAGTGTGTGGAAATGCAGGCTCTTCATCTTCAAGTTGTGGTGGGGCATCACCTTGACCCTGTTCATCAGGGGGAGTAGCTGGGGAATTCTCATTTGAAGAATCAGGTGAAGAAGTCTGAAATGGAAGCTATAGAGTTCTATGAACTATTCAAATTCCATTGTTTTTGTTTATAGATTCATATGATCATTTAAACATGACTAAACATTGAGATTCTGGAAAAGCTAGGAAGGTTGATTACTGTTTTCTTCTTAATTTTTTATATTCAAGATTGCATTAAAACCTAACCATGTGGTAATACTTCAAACTGTGGTCAATGACAGACCTACTTATTCTTCCTACAACCATATGAATACATATACCACTCTCATTCCACTGCAACAAGTAGTGTTTATTTTGACTTCATTTATCCCAAGCTTTTGTTTTATAACTTTTGACTGCCATAATAGTATCCAGATATATTATTTTTTCTTTTTGCAAGATACTAAATTTGTTATTTAAAACAGTATTTCTTTCCAAAATCAATGGAATTTTAATACAATACCTTTTTCTAATATTGATTGCTGAAGAATATAGTCATTTTAGGGTCTATTTAGGTTCATTTCTAACAAATGAAATAGCACTTGTGCTATCTACACAAAAGAAATCTTTGATAAAGCTTAGGTTCAGACTCTCATGTATCTAAATACTTTGCATGCCAAGCAAGTGTCCAGGTGAACAAAAAATTATACCATCTACAACTGTTTCTCTCTTAAGCCCTGCAGATTGCCTCATTGTTTCTTGTATGATTTATAGTGTTTACCTTAGCTCAATTATTTCTCTGTTAGCATAAAACAGGAGTGTCAAGCTCAAGGCCCACGGGCTGTATTTGGCCTACAGGGTACTTAGATTTGGCTCATGGGGCTGCCCTGGAAACAGCAAAGGACCGGCCCGCAGTGCCTAGGCCAGTGAAAAGAGAGCTCAAAAGGCCATGCGCAGTTCCCCGAAGTTGTTTTCTCTGCCAGCGCAGGAGGCAGTTGTGGCCAAAAACAGGGCCCGGGGTGCCTGTGCTGGCAGAGAGCTGCAGGAGGCTGTTGCTGCCAAAAATGGAACTTGGGGCGGTGGTGGTGCGTAGCCCCCGAGCTTTGTTTTCATTAGCAGAGGGCTGCAGGAGACCATCGAGGTAAAAAATGAGGCCAAGGGAGGCTGCGCCCCCCCCAAACTCAGTTTTCACTGGCACAGAGCTAGCAAAGCAAACAAAAAGCAAAACAAAACAAAAGGAGAAATGGTTCCCCTTTTTGCATTTGAGCATCCAAGAAGGGATAGGAAAGGAGTAAGGGAAAGAAGAAAGACAAAGAAAAAGAAGGAAAGAGAGCAAGGAGGGAAAAAGAAGGAAAGAGGGAAAGGAAGGAAGATTATAATGAGAGGGAGGGAGGGTCTGAAGGAAGCACTTGGCCACCAGCAGCCCTGCTGCTCTTTCACCATCCCTTTGTCTTTGCCTCCTGACCTCTCCTGGTGGTCTCCCATTTTATCGCTGAGGTTGCTTTGGATACATAGCCGGATCTCCTTGTGTGGAGGGGGAGTGGGCCTCCCTCTGACCCACACTCTTTGCCTCCTGCACACACTATGAACAACCTGGCCAAGAATAGGGAGAACAGCAGTAGCAGCCTCGAAGAGAAGGTCAGCGCAGCTGGGCACCCCCTCTGGTAAGCGGGGCTGGACTGGGCTGGGCTGTGGGGTCCCAGTGACCTGGGAGATCAAGGGCCAGGCTGGGCACTTGCCCTCCAATGCCTAGTACTATGGACAGTGTGCACCATTGTCCGGGGGTCCTCTGCGTGGCCTGAGAGGGATGGCAAGGCTCTTCTGGAGGACAACTGTTTGGCACAATAACTGGTCTTGCCTTCCTCCACTGGAGATAATGGATTCTCCCACAGCCCCGCCTGGGCCACCACAGGTTCCCCCCAACACGAGTGATGTTGAGCTGGTCATGCCCCCCACCACACCCCTCCCCCCAGGTCAAACACAATCCTGATGTGGCCCTCAATTAAATTAAGTTTGACACCCCTGGTATAGAAGCATTCATATTGTCAGAAATGCTAACAATCTTCCCAGTCCACTAAATGCGTTACTTTTACTGTAACACAGTTACCCTTCTTATAGAGCAAGTTTGATTACATTATACTGAACAATTAAAATGCATATCTATTCTCATTTTGGCAGTGAACAAAGCAGAGTCATAGAAAAGAGAAACATTTAATTAGCAAATCCAATCAGAACTTCTGGAGCCTAGTTTATTGGGTATTTTAATTTGTAAATATTTTTTAAAAATAAATCACATTGAGATAGTTCTCACTTATCAAACTTTATCAGGACTAGGAACTCCATTGATAAATGACATGGTCATAATGATGTCATATCACTGCATCAACTTATGACAACATTTCTAGGAATCCTAGTTGCTGTAATTAGGCCAATCCTTGCAGATACAGCCTCCCACAGATACACAATTACGATCTGTGATTTCCTGACAGCTTTCCCATTGACTTTATCAGAAGCCAGCAGTAAAGGTTGGACATGGAAATCATGTGATCACAGGACACTGCAACATTGTAACTGCAAGCCAGTTGCCAAAGGTCCAAATCACTATATGACCCAGGCAAGCTACGATGGCCACAACTATTAGGACCTGTTGTTATGTCCCACACATTTAGCACTTAACATTTAGAACAGTTGCTGAATGGACATTAAGCAAGGATTATCTATAGTTGCAGCCAACAGTGGCCCCAATTACCAATTTTGAATTTCATATAACAGCAAGAATTGTAAAAGAACTAATTAAAACTTTCGACTGTTATATTCAGGTGAAAGCACGTACATTGCAAAGACATATTTAATATACCTGATTCTGCTGGATAGGAGGCTGAGACTGTCCATCAGGAGCCTGTCCCTGACTGTCATTCCCTCCTACTGGAGAGCCACGAGTCGTGGCTGTCATACTCGAAACAGGGCAGATTTTTGCAATTTTGTCTGCTTATGTAGTTGTTGAGAGAGAAAAACTTATAGTCCGCTTAATAAAGTTGAAGTACCAGCGTAGATCTGTTTTAAAAAGCTCCAATTCAAGAACAAGCCATCTTGCAGAGACCATTGCATAATCTGAAAGATAATTCAATATATAATGAATTATTTTAAATATTATCCTGAAGATATAAAAATGTCATTTGAGGAAAAACATTCTCTTTATTTCTTATAAATCCAACAAGAGTCCAAAATAATCAAGGAAATACTATATTTCTCCAGAATTAAACAATTAGAATAAATGAATTTACTCCATAAGATTCAATTTCATGACCCAACCATCTTTCTTCTCTCTTGTGTGTTTTAGATTTCAGGAAAACATCATTTGGCATTGTAAAAATAATACTGTATAATCACAGAGCATTTAGAAATGTTAATCTATGTCCAATACTGGGTTAGTTTTAAATAGTGGTTCCCTATTGATTCTCTTGATAAGATTCTATTTCAATATGTAAGTAAAATATATGTGTCCAGCCAACCTCAGCTGATCTAAAATGTTAACGAGGACCATCAGAAAATATTAGGACTGTATGGTAAACTCAGAAGTCAAAACAAAACAAAAAAACTCAGAAGCAATAGCAAATCCCTTATATACTTTTGCTAAGACAATTCCACAGATGTATCCAAACAAATCACAGGAGACTACCTTAACTTGAAGGAGACTTTGACATGTAGAATACAGGTAGCCCTTGACTTAGGACAAATATCCCCAGAGCTACTTATGATCCAGATTCAAAGTTCCGACAACTGTCCCCAGGGTCATATAACTGCAATTCAGCACGGCAACTGTACATGAAAGTCAGTTGCCAAGATTTGAGCAAACCAAATAGTTTAAGTTTACTAGAAGGATTTAAAATAGACACTAGACTGCGCTAAAGCGTATTCAAAGTCTCTTCAATGACATAATCCTTTTCCTATATATGCTTCAAGGTATCAAAATAAGATAGAGTATGGCACATTAGAATTGTTTAATAAGTATTTTATTTGAACTGGTATACACCAATCTATAGAATGGCGAAAACTAAACATTCTGATGTTTACAACATATTTTGAGCCCTATTCACTTGTTCTACTATGCCAAAGCATTTTAATGAAGGCTACAGAACAAATTTAGGTGGATACAGACAAATAGTCTTCTATTTACAACTGGTTACTTCACGAATGTTCGAGGTTATGACAGACATTTCGGAGAGTACTTACAACCTGGATCCAAGGTTCTGACAGCTGTTCAAACCATGATCACATGACTGCATTTAGAGGGTTCAGCAACCAGGCTGTATTTATAGCCATTTGTAGCATCATGCAGACATGTGACTACATTTTAAGATAGTTTTGCCTTAAACTGGCATGTTCTTCCCATTTTGGGTAAAACTGTCCATAGAGAACTACTGGTATACCTTCCCCCATAAATGTTTTTATATGTAGATTTTAGGCTTAATTTTGTTTCATTGAAAAGTTTTACACACCCAACAAATTTTGTACATATTTACTTATAAATCTAGAATAAAAAAACTTATGATCCCGTAACCCCTTAATTCAGAGTAGCATTGGGGCGCCTGGATGGAGCTGAGCGTTTACTTGCCAGATGCCCTTCCTGATCCCAATGCAGAGTTGAACCTAGGACTGAACTCTCAAGCTCGAGTGGAAAGTGAACTTCTTCACAAGGTCACCAGCCACTCACTTACAAATCTATATTATTTTCCACAAATTCTGATTAGTTATGCTAATTACTAGCATAAGAAATAAAAGCACCTTGTGTAAGAATATTTCTTCATTCCATTTGTCTATCATATTTATTTTTAAGAACACGTTTTAAGCATAGCATTCACCCATTTTTTCCAAACAATGTTTGACCTGAAAACGAATACAAATATCTTTAGTGTTGAGCAGTGATTTAGTCAGCTGACAATATAAAAAAATGTAATCAATTTCTTATTTAATAATTGTCTTATTCCATCAAATACAAATAACAGACCTAAATCTGGGGGGACATTTGATTTTTCTTTTAGAAATAAGTTGATTCAAAAAATATTTCTCCAGAATTTTGAACTTTATCACAAGTCACCACAGAAACTTTTTTTAAAAAAAGTAGTCTTTCCAACAAGTCAATGAATATTTATTAAATGATATTCTGAATCGTAGTTAAATGCCGAATATGTAAAATTTTACATGGAACTCTTATAATGGAACTAAAAGAATTGTCTTTGGTAACTGTAAGTACGGTATAATTATATATTATTATGCAGATATTTATTTAATTTGTTTCTCATCCTTCTTTCAAACCACAATACTTACCTGTTTCTAACAAGGTCTTAAGAGGCTTTAGAAATCATGCTTTAAGGTTCTGACCAAAAGTAACAATTAACTTTTCAAAATTTGAAAGGTGGAAAATAGACAAATCTAACACTTTCCTGCTTTGTAAAGAAAATTGAATTGATACCACTGTGAGGATTATAATTTATAAATTGTTTCTTTGCAAATGAAGAAAATAAATGTTATAGAAATCTCTTACTTTGTACAATCACTTTTGTGCATAAAAATCAGAGTTTCATTTTGATTTTTGTTAAACCAAATATGTTCTATTAGAAGGTGTAAGAGAAAAAAACATCCAGAATTAATCTTTAATAACAGCAGCACTTAAGAGTTATATTCTGCTACACAATGCTTACAGCATTCTCTAAATCAGTGGTCGCCAACCAGTGGGCCGGGGATCACTGGTGGTCCACGACAACATTTTGGTGGTCCACAGAGAAATGTCACCCCAAAGCAATTAATCCAGGTTGTACGGGAACACAAGGCTGTACCTCCCACATGGCCCGCTGGAACACAAGGCTTGCGTCACTTGCACTGCGAACAACACGAGGTAATGAGGGGAGGGGGGAAAGGGCGGAAGGGGGAAACTTGCACCACTCACCTCACCTGGCCATCGGTCTGATTCTTTTCACTTCTTTCTACATTTGCTTTTGGCTGCATGCAAGGAAAGCAGCAGAAGTCTTTCTTTCTCTCCCCCAAACTCTGCCAGAAACAAGTCTTTGGGACCCTGCAATGCATCCTGCTCCAAGAGGCTGCGCCAGCGCAACAAGTCTCACAAAGACTCATTTCTAGCGGAATTTGGGGAAGAGAAAGAAAGACATCTGCTACTTCTGCTGCTTTCCTTGCATGAAGCTACAAGTCTCTCTCAATACTGCATTCTGACCACTGTGCCACCATGGCTCCCAAAACCTGGAATCCTTTTACTTCAAATTTATATCATAGCTACTATTAGTTATATCTATTACTGTAATAGTATTATTAGTTATATATATTACTATATTACTTATATTATTAATTTATATTACAGCTACTATTAGTTGTTCCATTTATTTTCTAGAATCCATGCATAAGCATACACACATATATATGAATTTTAGACATTTTCAATGTTTAGTGCAAAATAAAAAAAATGTGAACTAAAACAATGGCTTGAAAACACACATTCAAAAATCTACCCACTGATCACTAGCACAGCAAAAGAAAAGGAGGGTGGTACTATATATTAAACAATAACTGCTAGACAATTTTTTGCAAATGAAGATACAAAATTGATGATGGAGGTAACAATGAATCATAAACAGATATTGCTGATAGCAATATATGCACCTAATAATAAACAAGAAGAGTTTTATGGAAAACTCTGTAAGAAAATTATAGAATTGCAATATGAAAATATTTGTGTGGTAGGAGACTTCAATGCAATTGTAGATATAAAACTTGATTATAAGAGTAGTAAAACAGGTAAAAAAGCTAGGAAAACACTCCCTAAAACCTTTTTTAAAATGATGGAAGAAATAGGAACCAAGACATATGGAGAGAAACACACCTCAAGAAAAATCAATACTCATTTTATTCAAATAGACATAAATTTTGGTCAAGAATAGACATGGTATAGATGTCATCAGAATTGAAAACGTGTACAAATGATAGAAATAGAACCCAATGTTTGGGCAGATCATAATCCTGTAAAAGTTATGTGGAAAGGACAAAAACAAAAACTGAGATGGACATTGGATTTCCGGTTTGACAGGCTTCGGAGGCAGCAGGAATTCGCGTTTGTGCGCGATTCCTGCTGCGCTCGCTGTTGGAGTGCCTTTGATCCAATTCGATTATGAGGCTATAGTTATCCTGTAGGGATAACTGAAGAGAGGGGAGATCCAGGCAGGGGTCGGGGGATATCGCACCCCTCTTTCCCAGCCAGCTTAACTCCCTTTTCCAAAGGTGGTGGAGCGGCAGTCAGCAATGGCCGCCACAAAGAACCTCTCAGCTGGACAAGTTGTGTGCAGGAGGAAGTGAAGAAAGAGAAGGCTTTTGGCTGAACCGGGACGACAATTAACATCTGAATACCCTGGAACTTTGGCTCTTTAAGTGATATATTGTTTCCCAGAAGATCGTTAAGCTGCGGTGAAAAGTAAAGGGAAAGGTTTTTTTTCCTCCTCACTTTCCTTCCCACGGAGACAGCAGATGGAAATCGGAAATACCCACTTTGGCAGCAGAAGGTATTTACTTTGAAAATTAAAGCCAAGGGGACATTAGATTTCTAAACACTGACATTTAAAAATTAAAATCTTTTTGCTTTAAGTGGGAAGGAAGAGAGGTAAATGATTTATACCAACGTTTGTTAAGGAGACTGCTTGGAGTTTTATAAGATTAGAGATTAAATTGCAATAAAACTTCCAAAAAATACCTTGGAATTGTGTAACTGAATTCTACCCCAGGAAGAGAAAGTAGAAGAAAGTGCTAAATGAAACAGACTGTGCTGATTGTGCTGACTTTGATTGCTTGATGACTTTGGGACTTTTGTGAACTATCTTTTGAAAGACTAAGAAAACATTTGGATTGTTTAAAAAAATTTTTTCACAATGGTATCTGTTGAAGAACTGAAAATGCAATTTGAAAAATTAAAAGAAGAAGAGGGCAAGGGTTCCTTTGGATCTATCCTTTGCTTTTTAGAAATGGCGATTTCTACTTATCAGGAAATGCAACAAGAAAAAGGCTGGGATGATGAAGAAGAAGCCATCTTTAATGGACATATGATTTTAAAT